TGCTTTCGATGAATCTAACACACGAGATAGCATGCTCTATTTGTGGCAAGTGTTGTGCATATATATATTAAGTAGTTTGGCTCTCGAGTGTATTTTTTTACTCTCTCCATACTCGTAAAGGAAGTCGTTTAGGACAGCGACACGGTCTCCAAAACACAACTTTAACTTCTTGTTTTTATAAAAATATTCATTGAAAAGTGATATATGTATACTTTTATGAAAGTATATTCATATATTTTTTATATTTTTAAATTCAATAACTTGAGAGTTATTCATGATTTATATTCCCAAGGTTTGGCTTAAGCATTGTCCTAAATGACTTCCTTTACGAGTACATAGGGAGTATACATAAACCTCACACTTGATTAACAAATTGCCAATTTGCCATTAATAGTTTGTTGGTCTGATCATCTTGTATATATATGCATGCACAACTAGCCAATTCTCGACCTCTATAAATAGTGAAACTTTGTAGCCAAACTCACACACATATCTCATCATCGAATTGAAGCTAAGCTAGAACAACATCTGCCATACATGGTTTCCGCTACTGCTGTCAAGATTGCAGCCATCTTCATGGTGGCGCTGACCATCGGCCAGCTGATGGCTGAAGCATCGTCGTCGTCGTCCCCACAGCCTCGTCGGCTGCTCGAGGTCGACGACGACGACGATGGAGAGGTCGTCGAGGCAGAGCTCGACGAGGCCACCCTGCTGGCCGACGAATTAGCCACAATCGTTCAGGGCTGCCGTAGCATCTGCCACCGCCATCCCAAGTCGTGGAGGTGCAGATGCTGCCGTGAACGCCCCGGCTGCCACCGTGTCCTTGACACTTGTGTATGCCCGCATGCTTCGATCGATCACTGATGGCCTCTTCTAGCTTTGGGTACGACACGGATCCTCTACCGTAATGTCACTACGTGTCAGGTGACTTGACTTTCGGTCACTTATACGTGTTTTATGCAAACATACGTACACACGTACAGGGAACAAGATCTTATATTAGTGGATCTTGTTCCCTGTACGTGTGTACATATGTTTGTACGTTTGCTTCCGGACTTTCGTGTATGATTCCGGAATATGTACGTTCGCTTGCTGTTGCTGCCATGGTTGCACTGCATGCTGTGTGCTTCTGGTGTGAAAGTTCAATAAATTAAGAAGATGGGGGCTCCCATTCGCCGACAGATCATCTGAAGTGAACACATGCAATTAAGCAATTTGTTTGTACTATTGTGTAAATCTGCATAATCTTTGATCTTTGGAGTTTAAAACAAGTTTAGTTCTTTACGGTTCTTGTAGAGGTGCGCCTCGTTTTGATACGAAAAATGTAACATGGATTTGCAAAGAAAATTTGTTATCATATTTACAGAGTTTTAGTTATTTTTATGTTAAAATCGGTGGTACCTTTAGAAGGGGTTAATTTAAGTAATTTAATTCCAGCTAGCGAAGCCGAAACTCATCTAGTCATCTTGTCCGTGATTTAGTTATATATTAGCGATGTGGGTCGATAAAGCGAAGGTTAACAACATTTGATTGGGAACCGGCGTGCTTTCTCACTACTACAGAGATTTTCCTGGACACGAGCCCCGATAGCTTCTAGGCGGGCTGTAAGTGGCTCCGCCCAGAACAAGCCGAAGGCCGGCGCTGGGCTTTGCATTATCCCGTGTGGTCCGCTTAAGACAACCGCACGGGATAATGGCTTAAGCGGACCGCACGGGACAATGTATTATCCCGTGCGGTGCGGTCCACATAAGCCAACCGCTTGCGAGGAGCTACATAAGCCCCCAACCCAACCATTACATGAATTTCGGCGTTTTCTCTCTCCTAAACATACACAAATTAGGGGAGAAGTTTTTGACCTCAAATCTTTTATTGGGTTTCACATAAAAGATGTAGAGCTTGTTCTCATCCTTTATTTGCTTTCATTTTTATCAGTTTTCATCGGTGCAATGCGAAGAAACTTGCACTTTTATAAATGGAATAGTGTAGGCACTTTTTTATTTTTTTATTTTGTAGCTAACATATAATGTTTTCATTACATGTTTTTAAAAGTATTTAGTACCAAAATTGAAAAGTTGGGCCCACCCGCACACGAAAATATCGATTTTCCTAGACGCAGCCCTACAGGCGGGCCGAGCCACCGCACGGGATAATAAATCCAACCGCACGGAAAAATAGGGTGGGTAGTAGTGTCTAAATTTAGTTAATAACCTGGTAAGGAGCCTCATGCATAGAACGGGGGATTGCTAATTAGCGAATAGTCGCGCCTCCCTCTGCGCAATCGGTTCTGGGCCCACAGCTTTGTACTATACATATAAATTATATATATATATATATATATATATATACTTTGTATACGTATTTATAGATTTTATAAGTATGTATAAAACGTATATACAACTGTATATATATTGTATATATGCATGTATATATATACTTCGTATACATAATGTATATTAACGTATGTACAGTTGTCCATATTTACGTCTATACGTCGAACTAGGTATAGCGTGTTAACATTCTCTAACTTCTAGAACTAGTACAAATCGAGTCACTAGAGAGTGGGTTTTATTTGACGTGGCATCTACGTGCCACGTTGTCCTAATCTTCATACAACATGATGCTTAAGTGTCAATTATGGGAATTACAGTCAACAAAATAAAAAAAATAGTAACCCCGCATATCAGTACCTCTCCCTTTCTCTCGATCCCCTCATCTTTTTGCTACGACATGATGGTCATGAAGACGATGGGCCACACGGCCGTAGCGAGGACAATATCTCCTCCCCGCCAATTTCCACGCCTCGCCATCACGGTCTCCCTGCCTCCCTTTTTCCAGCCCCAGCAATGGTGGGAAGGATGGGATCCCCATATATACTCTGCCTTGAGCTCTCTATCCGCCTTCTTCTCTCGCGACACAACGCCGGCGGACCAGCCATCAGGACCCACGTGACATTGACATGGCAATTCGATCCGAAAAAAATAAAAACCATGAGGTTTACCGCTCACATGTTAGTTACACACATAAAATAATAAAGAATGGTGGGGCCCATGTGGTGGCTTTGAGCTCCAGCCACACCCAAAGCCACCAACCCAAGCCAGGTGTCGTCACCGTAGGTGCCACGTCAGCCAAAAGCCCAAAACCGAGGACAATACTATCGAGGGACTTCGTTTGCAATGGTTTTGTAAGTTTTGGGATGTGGTGTATCCAGTTTTGTGGTCCTGGGACAAATTTCAGACTCGGTGACAGATTAAGGAACCTAAAGTGAACTTATTTCAAATTTAAACATAGTCGACACATAAAGTGGACCTTTCCAATCGGACGAATCTTTGGGGAACAAGTTCACCTGAGGTCCCTTAACTTATCAATGAATCCGATTTTCGTCCTTCAACCGAAAAACCAGATACAACGCGTCCCTCAACTATCAAAACCAGTACAGATGAGATCCCTCGGCGGTTTTGACGGCGGTTTTAGCTGACATGGCGCCTACGTGGCTAGTTTGACTCGGTCTTCATTTGACGTGGCGCTTACATGGCAATTCCATCCGAAAAAATAATAAACTCCATGGGACCCACATGTCAGTTTCATCCAAATTAATAAAAAATGGTGGGACCCACGTGGGCCCCACCTGTCATTCCCACTCCTCTTCTTTCTCCTCCTCCCTCCCCATCTTCCCTCTCCTCTCTCCAGGCATGATGGGAGAGTCATCGGGCGCCCGGGGGGTGGGGTGAATTGGCGCCACCACCACCAGGCGACGGCGATCCCGGAGGAGAGCACCTACCGCACACCGCCGCACATCCCTCCTCCACCGGCCGACCGGCGGCAGCTGGGGATACTGTCGGCCACCGGCGGCGCACGCGGCGAGTGCAAGGGCACGGTGGGTCAGCGTCCGGCGAGGCGCACCGACGCGTGCTCGCCGGGAGAGGGTACATCAGCTACCAGTCTTTGCACCGGGACAGCGTCCCGTGCTCTCGTCTCGGCGCCAGCAACTACAAGTGCCGCCACGGCGCCTCTACCAACCCCTACCACTACGGCTGTTCTCGCATCTCCCGCTGCCGCGGCTGATCTCCTCCTCTGCCGCCAAATCCACCAGGGAAGATGGCATCGTCGTCATCGTCGCCGGTGTAGTAAACTAGTAATCGAGCTGTTGTTGTTGTGTTCTTGCGGTGCCACTCCTACCTCTGCTATTTATTATTAGCTACTACTGTTAATATTCCTTTGTTTGATTTGTTGCTGCTAATCCGGCCACCAAGCGTTCTCTCTATCTCTCTCTCTGCTTCATCAGCTCCCTGTGGCAGCGATGGCCGGCTGGCCGCTCGGAGGAGGCTGCTCGCCGAGGTGCCTCCGCACCAGCTGCACTCCTCGCGGCACCAACAGGGCGCACCGGGGCACCATCTGTCGCCGGCTACACGGGGTAGTTGATAGTGGGCATGAGGCCGGCGATGACGAAGCGGGTCTCGCCGGAGCAGCGGACGATGGCGACCTCCTCGTTGCGGAAGGGGGAGACGCGCGGGTTCGGCAGCCGCCGGAGCGAGGAGGCACTGGCCATGTAGACAAAGTAGTCGTAGGATTCGATGCCCCGGTGGAGCTCATCGTTGGGGTGCAGGACGCGGAGGAGGGCTACATCGTCGTGCGTGCTGATGACTCGGGGATCGACAGTGAACCGGTGGGCCTCGCCGCCGGCGGGAGATGAAGAGAGGGGAGATGGAGAAAGGAGAGGGGTGAGAATGACATGGGGCCCACGTGGCCCCACCATTTTTTTTATTAACTTGTGTGTTAAACTGACAGGTGGGTCCCACGGGGTTTATTATTTTTTAGGGATGGAATTGCCACGTAAGCGCCACGTCAATGCCACGTCAAATGAAAACTGAGTCAAACCAGCCACGTAGGCGCCACGTCAGCCAAAACCACCATTAAAACCGCCGAGGGACCTCATCTGCACCGGTTTTGACAGTTGAGGGACGCGTCGTATCTGGTTTTTCGGTTGAAGGATGAAAATCGGATTCGTTGATAACATAAGGGATCTTAGATGAACTTATTTCAATCTTTGGACAAAGAATCGGACAAGAGAAGGGCCCAACTCGAGGTGGCCCACATAACCCATCACAAGCCCACGGACCATCACGGTCCAAAAACAACGTTATTGCTCCATTACCAAACGCCTCTCCTTTCACGGTTACACACACGACCGCACAATGACACGCAAGCACGTTGACACGAAGGCAACATTGCTAGGAGCCTAGGACGGCGCGGCGGCGGCGTGCAGGGTGCCGGCGACGTCGATGACGAAGCGGTACCTCACGTCGTTCCTCTCGAGGCGGCCGAGGGCGGCGTTGACGTCGCCCATGGCGACCACCTCGACGTCCGCGGCGATGCCGTGCTCGCCGGCGAAGTCCAGCATCGCCTGGCACTCGGCCACGCTGCCCCCGCCGCTCCCGGCGACGCGCTTCCCGCCATCGATGATGGCGATCGCGGGCAGCTGCAGCGGCGCCGCCGGCGCGCCCACCACCACCATCTGCCCCTTGGGCTTCAGCAGCGACAGCAGCGGCACCAGCGGGTGCCCCGCGGACACCGTGTCGATGATCCCGTCCATCGTCGCCGCCGCCGCCGCCATCCCCTCGCCGTCGCGGCTCGACAGGAACGCGTCGGCGCCGAGCCGCTCCAGCGCCTCCTCCCGCTTCGCCGGCGACGAGCTGATCACCGTCACCTTCATCCCGAACGCCTTGCCGAACTTGACGCCCAGGTGGCCCAGCCCGCCGAGGCCGACCACGCCGAGGTGCTTCCCGGGGGCGTTCAGGCCGTACTCCACCATCGGACTGTACACCGTCACGCCGGCGCACAGCAGCGGCGCCGCGCCGTCCGGCGGCAGGCTCGCCGGGACGCGCAACACGTAGTCCTGCCTCACGACCATGACGTCGGAGAAACCGCCCTGGGTGGTGGCGCCGCCGTAGTCCGTGCCGTTCGACGTGATCACCATCGTCGGGCAGTAGTTCTCGTCCCCCTTGCCGCAGCTGTCGCAGGCGCGGCACGAGTCGACGAAGTAGCCCACGCCCACCGTGTCGCCGGCCTTGAACCTGGTCACGCCGGCGCCGACGCCGGCGACGACGCCGACGATCTCGTGGCCGGGGACGACGGGGTACATGGCGTTGCCCCACTCGTTCTTGATGGTGTGCAGGTCGGTGTGACAGATGCCGCAGTAGAGCACCTTGATCGTCACGTCGTCTTCCTCCTGAACCCTGCACCACACATCACCGTCGCAAAGTTCAGTGATGCCCATGGCAGATCGAAACGACGACGGTGAGCACAAGACAGAGATATATACTACTTCCATCCTAAAATGTTGCTATCTATGATGGGATTCCTAAGACAACAAATCTAGACAAATCCTAGTTAACAACATTTTAGGACGGAGGAAGTAGTAGTTAATTATGACCTTCTTGTGAAGCTGAACGGTGAGAGGTGGCCGGAGGCGTCCCGCGCCGCCCAGCCGAGCGCCGCCGTGCCGTCGTGCTCCATTGATGACGATCGACCACTCTTTTGCTATGCTCTTCTTCCTCAGTGATCGATACTATTAGACTATCAGTAGTTGGTTTTGGACTCAGGAATCTGGGCGTGATACAGGATTAAATAGACATCCAAAGAAGCTAATCTACACAATCAAAGGCGACGTCAGACAGTACCATGGCATCTCGAGCTAACTACTGTGCCATGTGAACAAATCAAGACAAAACACAATGGCCATTTTTTTTTCTCCCGGCTTTGTATACCTATTACCTTAAATAGTGTTAGGCTATGTTTTTTTTTCTTTCCCAACTCACCCTTCTCTCTTTTCGTACGCACGCTTCCCAAACTGTTAAACGGCTTTACGTTTTTTTAAAAAAAAACTATATTAAAAATTACTTTTAAAAATCATATTAATCTATTTTTCAAAAGAAAAACTAGTACTTAACTAATTATACGCTAATGAGTTGTTCTGTTTTATATGTCGGTGAGATTAGCTCCCAAAGGAGAGGAACGTAGTCAGGAGCTTGAATGCTTGATACAGTAAAATATATCTTAATAATCTCTTCAAGATCGGAGAAAAACAATAATCAACCGACGCGGTCACAATCTCACCTATTTTCTTTGCAACTAGCCCTACTTGCTCCTCTCCTTAGCCGCCGGCTGCTAATCATGAGCTGTTGGCTCATTCAGCTCGTGCTGCGCTGGATCATGACATTTGACATTATTATCCAAAGGTTTTATAACTACATAAGCTTACACATTGAACAGTGAAGGATTAGAAGATTTCTTCCGGAGATGGTGACACTCAGAACTTCAGAAGTTCTGCAACTCTGACACAAGAAACATTGAATTAAGCAGCATATGCACTGTTGATGATATGATGCGCAGCAACATACTAATATGACTTATCAGCGATGATAAATCAAAACGCTTTCATTCATCGTTTCCGGCGCACAAAGCCAGTCGTGTCTGAATTCTGATGGAGTACAGAGACATGCATACTACTACTTCATTAATTATTGGAATAAATTAAATATTTTAAAATAAATTTATAAATAGTAGCAATAAATAACTTGGAATAAATTATCTATACAATAAAGTGAAGATTTTTCTTCCGAGAATATGGTTTTAAAGGTGTAGAGCAAATAATTCCTAATATTAATCTGATAAAGTAACTGAAAAGTAGAAAATAATACTGAGGAGTACGGTGAAGTGGCTCAATGGCACCATTTGACATACCAAACATGTCCTGCCACTGAGGAGTCAGGATAATAATAGTTTATATACTGAATCATATAGTAACTATAAGGCCATTCACAATACACATGTAGCATTCAGCCCCAGCATTCCACGTCGAAGATTCTCAGCCACATCGATCTCTCCCGTGCCCAAGTGAGAAAAGCGGAGGCAAAGTTGATCCCGCGTTCCTCATCAAAATGCGTTAGTGATTCTTTAGGGAAAGAGAGCACGGTGGCCAGGGCGGAGAAAGAGAGAACGAGGCAAGGGGGCAGGCATACCAGGGAGTCGCCGTCATCATCGTCTTTGAGATGCCACCGCTGTGCCGTTGAGCTGCGTTGAACCACCGCCACGCTATCGAGCCACCACACCGGATCTAGAGAGCTCAGTAGAGGGAGAGGCGGCCGTTGCCACGGGCCGTCGAATTGAGCTTGAGTGGCGTCTGGGAGTTGAGAGGCGCCGGCGGGGAGGGGGGCAGCGAAGAGGAGGGAGAGCTGCTGCGGCGGTCGGGGAAGGGGAGCTACACCGGCAATGGTGGGAAACGGGAGCTGCCATGGGCTGGATCCGGGCATCTGGCTGCCCCGCCGCCACTCCGCCTAGCGCTGTCGCTGCTCTGCTCGGCGTCGTCGCGGCTTCAATCACCTCTTCGCCCAGGCATCGTTGCCGAGAAGGACGCGTCGACATTCCAGATACGCCCCAAGCTCCTTGCCATCCACGCATGCACGCGGTTCCGAGCTCGTCGCTACTTCGATCCGCCGATGTCAGTGGTAGGGAGAGCGACGAAGGGGGATAGGGGCGCCGGCGGCGGGGTAGCCGAAGGAGGAGGCCTATGGTTGGTGGAGAAAGGAAAGGGAAGAGAGAGAGGAGAGATGAAAAGTGAGGAGAGAGAATGGGTGGGACCCACTATCATGTACCGTGAAGAATAAAGTAGATCGTATGCATTATGGATAGTGTTTCTTATAATGTTTCTAGCCTGGCTGATGACTTTGGCTCTTCAAATGCAGTAGCCGCACTGCTATTACCCCAAGTGCGTGGTTAGCTATTTAAAAAGAGAAAGTACGACAAATTATGGCATTTTAAAATCCAAAATATGGAAAGGGAACGTGATCATGACTAACAACCTATCCTCTTTTTAAAAAAGAGTTCATCAAAAGATTCAGCAATATGAGCAACTTAGACTTAAACAATGTGGCCTATCATCATTTCTCAATAATAAGTACAATTAACTAGCTCGACTAATTAATAACGAAGTGATAGAGACATAAGCTCCACTTATTTCGTACTCCATTTCGTAGCTAGTTTGCACATCACCAAACATTCAAGGCCACTGACACACAACAAGCAAGCTAGGCGGCGCCGGCGAGCTTTATTTTATATCTTGTCGTCGCCGGAGCCGCCGAGGCTGCTGCCGGCGACGTCGATGACGAAGCGGTAGCGGACGTCGTTCTTCTCCAGCCGCTCCATCGCGGTGTTGACGTAGTCCATCTTGATCACCTCCACCTCGGCGGTGATTCCGTGCTCGCCGGCGAAGTCGAGCATGGCCTGGCAGTCCCTGATGCCGCCGACGCAGTTGCCGGTGATGCCCTTCCCTCCCGGGACGATGGCGTACGCCGGCAGCTCCAGCGGCCTGGTCGGCGCGCCGACGAACACCATCTGCGCCATCGGCTTCATCAGTGCGAACAGCGGCGCGACCGGGTGCCACGCCGACACCGTGTTGAGGATCCCGTCCATGGTGCCCGCCGCCGCCGCCATCTGGCCCGCGTCGCGGCTGACGAGGAACTCGTCGGCGCCGAGGTGCTCCAGCGCCTCCCGCCGCTTCCCCGGCGACGTGCTGATGACGGTGACGCGCATCCCGAACGCCTTGGCGAACTTGACGGCGACGTGGCCGAGCCCGCCGAGGCCGACCACGCCGACGTGCTTCCCCGGCGCGTTCAGCCCGTGGATCACCATCGGGCTGTACACCGTCACGCCGGCGCACAGCAGCGGCGCCGCGCCGTCCAGCGGCAGCCCCGCCGGCACGCGGAGCACGTAGTGTTCGTTCACGACGATGGCGTCGGAGAAGCCGCCCTGGGTGGCCGCGCCGCCGTAGTCCTTGCCGTTCGACGTGATCACCATCGTCGGGCAGTAGTTCTCGTACCCCTTGCCGCAGCTGTCGCAGGTGCGGCACGACCCGACGAAGAAGCCCACGCCCACCGTGTCGCCGGCCTTGAACTTGGTCACGCCGGCGCCGACGCCGGTGACGACGCCGACGATCTCGTGGCCGGGGACGACGGGGTACATGGCGTTGCCCCAATCGTTCTTGACGACGTGCAGGTCGGTGTGGCAGATGCCGCAGTAGAGCACCTTGATGGTGACGTCATCGTCCTTCTGAGCCCTGAAATGTTTTTGTCAGCAGCAGCAGCTGATAAGATTATCCATCAGACAGATTAGCCTTAAAAGTGACAGTTCATAGCCTCATACAGTAGCAAATTGAACACTACTCCAGATTATAGAATATAATTTACTGCCAAATTAATCAAAAGTCCATAGATCAAGTGAAAAACCATCTAAAACTTTCAGATAATGTAAAATAAAGAATCGGCTCTTGTTCTTGACTTCTTTGACTGCTGATTTCTAACTGACACTTGTACTGATCTGACAGCTAAACTATCTTGATCTATCCATTCTCCTAGCTATAGCCTATAGGATCTGAATCTTTAAACAACTCATCCACACAGAAACAGAGAGAAAAGGCATCTTCTCCAACTACAAAATCACGGTAAAAATTTTCTCACTGACCTCCTGGAGAAGTTGTACGGGGAGAGGACGCCGGAGTCGTCCCTGGCCGCCCAGCCGACAGCCGCCTTGCCATGCTCCTCCATCCCCTGCTCCGCCGCACTCGCCCTCGCCCTCTGCAGGTTTCTCGCCGGCGACGAGGTGGTGATGGTCACGGCGGTCGCAGCAGCAGCAGGTGAAGTGCTGCTGAGTTGCTGAAGAAGAAGCTTGCTGCTGGTGCTGGAGAATGGCAAGCGAGTGATTGCGAGTCCACCGGAGGAAGAGGGGAAGGTGAGACGCGAGGTGGTGTGCGTGCGAAAATGACGTGACATAACGGGCCGTTGCTAGGATTTTTCCAAGCAGCCGTTAGCAGCGATTACATGTTGTATGTTAATCCCTCCGTTTCGTTTTAGGTTCCAAGACATTTTGACTTTGGTCAACATTAAACTGTTTTAAGTTTGATTAAATTTATAGAAAAATGTAGTAGTAACATTTTTAACCTAAGTCAAATTTATTATGAAAATATATTCAATTATTGATTAAACTAAATTTAGTATTATAAATATTACAAAAAAATCTATAAACTTAGTCAAGTTTAAACAGTTTGACTAGATTAAAGTGAAAACATTTTATAATCTGAAATGGAGGGAGTAAGTTTATAAAAATATATGAATAATATTAACGGCTGCTTGGAAAAATCCTAGCAACATGTAATCGTGGTGCACTGTATGTAGTCCAGTATGGGAGGAGGTGATGGGAACAGGGGATCGAACTCGTGACCTCAACTACCATATGGTCTGGAAAATGGTTGAATGATTTTTTGTTATCATTGTTCGAATGTACATACGTACAAATGGATAATGAATCAGCTATTGTTAAAGTTGAAAATGGATTCGTATAGCTTTTCGAGAAATTCGTATATGTAATTTTTATTAATAAAAAAACGTATCGTTTAAGAGCTAAGTACTCCCTCCGTCCTATAATATAAGGGATTTTGGAGGGATGTGACACATCCTAACATGAACCGTTAGATTAGAGAGAACACAAAACAAGGACGAGATACAAGAACCATGTTAAAAGAAGGTGAAAAATAAATTATACTCCTCCGGTCAATAGAGGGAATGGAGAGAAGTCCCCCAAAACATCTACACCGCAGGTCTTGTTGGGAAAAAGGATATGAAAAAAAGAAGATGGAAGTCGTAGGTACTGCAACTCTACCAACACTACCAGCTGCAAGCCGCCTCCTCAAATACTCCATAGGAATTAATTTTGTTTAAAGCAAATATGGTCGTGTTTAGATTCAAACTTTTTTCTTTAAACTTTCAACTTTTCCGTCACATCAAATGTTTGGACACATGCATAGAGCATTAATGTGGAGGAAAAGAACTAATTACATAGTTTGCATGTAAATCACAAAATGAATCTTTTGAAACTAATTACGCCATGATCTGACAATATGGTGCTACAGTAAACATTTGCTAATGACGGATTAATTAGGCTTAGTAGATTTGTCTCGCAGTTTACAGACGGAATCTGTAATTTGTTCTGTTATTAGTCTACGTTTAATACTTCAAATGTGTTTCCGTATACTTAAAAAAAAAACTTTGGGACACGAACTAAACATAGCCTATGTTGCTGTAGAAGCACGAGCTTTCATACTACTCATCAATCAAAAAACAAAAAATAAACAATTGGATACCAATGGTTTTTCTATTGCTCCTTATATAATTTTAACTATCTTCTAACAAAGCAAATACACCAATTTTTAAAAATGTTGAAAACCCCTAACTTCCGTATAACCAGAAAAATGGTCCATAAAATAATAGTGTTGTAATATTTCCAATTAGAGAAAATTCATGAAATGCCATCGACAAGCACCCTAATCCCAGAAATAACATCAACAAGCGCAACTTCCCGAAAATGCCATCGTACAATCATTTTTCTTCCAGAAATGCCATCGCTGTCAACACACCGTTCATTCACACCGTTGCAACCATAAATTTGACCAAATTACCCTTAGTCCAAAATTCCTCCTCATCGTCGGCCGCCGAGAAGGAGGCGTTGCCGTTCATCGTCAAGCCGCGCTCGCCATTATCTCTTTCTCGTTCCTTGTTCACCTTACCATGCATGCTGAGCAAATAACCTTTTGACACGCTCTCGTTCCGTGCAGCCGATCGACGGGAACGCGATCATGCCCACAGTGCTCTGGAGCGCGCACTGGTCTTCGCCGCCGCTTTGGCATCATCGTCGCCCGGCCGAACCCGTCCACCCCGAGCAAAGCCATTGCGTCGTGAAGGGTCGCCTCATCCCCCTCTGCAAAACGCCCCAAGAACCACCAAGATCGGTGGAGCAAGCTGGGAGATCGACTTCGTCTTCCCCAACTCCGGCCGCCGAGCACCACCTTGGCATCCTCCTTCTCCAGTGAGCCACCATCCGATTCCCCGTGCAGGTGTCATCCCTAGGACCTCAGAAGCTTCGCATGCACTTCCATTTTGCAGCTGGGAGGCTAAGGGAAGCCGGCGTCGTCATCGTGTTGTTTCCGCCGCCGCCGCCATGTCCTTCTATTGCCATGACCTTGCTGGAGCTCTTACTGCTTTGGCTAGATACTTGGTGAGTATCTTCGAGTCCCATAAGAGCAAGTTCCATAGTATAGCCCACTACTAGCTCCAATTCATTTATAGCCAATCTAATAGCCAATTCATACAATAGTTGCTTACTATACTATTAATATATGGTCACACCTGCCATATACACATTGCGTCTTGGAGTCCGTTCTGCAGCTGGCTACAAATCTGTAGCCCGCTGCTCTTCTCTCTCATCGTTTATCTCATTAAAATATGTTTATAGCTGGCTAATAGCCTACTATTGTACCTGCTCTAAGCACACATGCACGTATGAAGTAGGCCTAACCCGAGCTCGACTTCCTTTTGCACCTATAGCCTAATACCCACCGCCGCCCGCATTTACACCGATGCCGATTCCGTCCATCTCCGGCAATGTGGTCACCATGTACAGATTCGCAAGAGTATCCTCTACATTTTAGTTTTTGGTTGCGTCGGCCGAAGAGCAGCACACGTCGCGCCGCCAGGATGCCGCGCTGGGCTGTCGCGCCCTGCGCATATAGGAGCCGCTGTGGTGTTTTTTCCATTTTATTTTTTTTGAGTGTGTGAATTGGGATGGTATATTTTGAATTGAGGGCAATTTGGTCATTCTTACGATTATAACGGTGTGCAATCAACGGCAGATTGACGGCGATATCATTTCTAGGAGAGAAAGGCTTGTATGATGGCATTTCTTGGAAGTTACGTTCGTCGATGGTATTTCTGGGATTAGGGTTCTTGTCGATGGCATTTCATGGATTTTCTCTTCTAATGCGTGTGTATAATTATACCTAACAATTCTATTATCAATTAAAATTCGAAATTGTATAACCTCCTTTTTAATATATGATATCGTTAATTTTTTTTAAGATATCTTTGACAATTTGTCTTATTCAAACTCTTTTAATTATCATTTATTTTATTGTGACTTGATTTATCGTCAAATATTTTTTAAATAAATTAAATATTTTTATTTGCAAAAAAGGTTTGAATAAAACAAATGATAAAATGTTTGTAGAAAAATCAATGGTGGTTATATATTAAAAAATAGAGGTAATAACACTTAACAAACAATGTGCAAGGAAAAAAGAGCTATATTTTTTTAAGCTTCAGCCGCCAAGCGTGTGTCATTTTGTTTGCATAGAGAGATAGGGTGGTTACAGTTGTACGAACTACAATTATATTGATGGTAAATTCTTCATTTCACTAATATTATTCATATATTTTATAAACATAACATACAACGAGATGGTTAGAGTCGATCGCGCGAATGTGCGATTTCATAGACTAGTATGAAAAGAAACTTAAATTAATTATTTTGAGGTGCCCTGACGTAAAGCGAGAAAATATACGTTTATCTCGAAGGTATACTCTACACGGTAAAAAAAACTATCATCTACTCTACTGTTTTGTCTTGATCCTCCCGATCAGATACTCGGACGCAACTGTCATGGAAGGACAGCCACAAAGCCGGAAGAAAAATCGTCGCGTGCGTCCCAACCCAAATGGATTCCAATGCCGACACAGTCGCTTTTGCTTATATATCGATGCTTTGGTTTGTTTTGCGCTCATGCCCTCGGGGCCCAAACGTACGTATTACTCTCTCCATCTTGGTACACAAAACAAAGATAAGTAATTTTACTTATCATCTATTTAAACATACTACTAGTCATTTCTCGTAAACAAGCGATTCATTAATATTTACATTTCTCGATGTCCATATAGCCAATCTTGCGTGGAAGAAGGGAGAGTCACGCATTAAATCTGAGAAAATTATTATTTGAAAATATGACTATTAAAAGTAGATGGATGAGTACATTTCAGTCCTTATGTTTTCGCATGCTTTAGCCTTTAGTATTTGGTCTCAACAAAGCTGAGTTGGATCCTTTCTTATAAATCCAACGTAATCAACGAAGACAGACAGGCATAATTATTGCCCGGCACATGTGCAGCAGAGTTGAGGCCTTTCATCATCAGTGTTGTTTCATCTAATCAATGATGAAAAAAAAAATCTTTTACCCCCTAAACTTGGTAGAGAAATAGGTCTAATATCATGAATTTTAAATTCGAACATTCAACCCCTAAATTTTATAATACCATTCAAATTACCCCTAAAATGGTTTTGGATAGTGACTAGGTATTTAGAATCTTAAATAAGTGGTTTTGAATAACTAATATAGCTTGTTTACATATCCTCAACCATCGTTCATTAATTTCTATTCTATAATGATATATTACTTAGTATTATATTTACATCGATCCATTTGTAAAAAAGAGATCAAAAAAATAGGGTTCAAAACGAAAGATTTTGGTGAAGATTTGAAGATATATTAACAATTCATATACCATGTAGTCAAAATCATCCGACATACATACAAATCTAGAATAAAAACCACCCTGCAAAACCAACATACTTAGAGTGTTACGTAAACGATATACAATATTGTATAGCTCAGGGGTTGAATATCCGATTTCAAAAGTATACGAGACTAGATGGACTTTCAATCAAAAAGTTAGAACGATATTTAGACTTTTCCAATCAATGATACATGATGTTTGGACCGAATGGAGTATTAGTACAAATTAAGGTGCGAATTTGAAAGGGCAACATATCTTTTTTTTTTTTGAGAAGAACTGAAGAAGGCTCCCATCGGTTGCCTACAGCTTATAAGCCGTGGTCAAAATTTAGAATAGTTTTTTTTTCGTGATAGTTTATTTTAACTATTGGTTTTTATCTCGCTAATGACATCCAAATGAAATAATTTACTCCTAAATTATATTTTTTTCTAATAATCTTATAGTCAACATTACATAAACCAATAGCACCAGCGAACTCCACGTTATTTTAAGGAGTCATCTTAAAAGAAACTCTTCTTTTCTTTTTTCTTTATTTTAAAGGAATGGAAAAGCATATTAATGCGACATGCTTCACGGGCTCATAAACATTACGGTTTTCATTAATAAAAAGTACATATATGAATTTCTCGAAAAAGCTATACGAATCCATTTCCAACTTTATATTAGCTAACTCATTTGTCCGTACACTCGAACAATGATAACAAAAATCAGTCAACCGGCATTCATCCTCGCCAAGATCAAGGAGGAAGGTCGGGCATAGGTCAAAGCAGGAGCCTCAAACCTTCAAGAGTTTGGAATCTTAGGAGATATCACTTAAACCTCACTTTTTATGGATTTAGTTCTTTGGACTAGCCCTATACATATTTTTGTTGCTCTGTATTTTCTCCATCTTTATCAATATACGAGACAAAACTTTTGCCCTCCTTTCAAAAAAAAAATCATTCAATCATTTGCAGACTACTCCCTCCGTAAAAAAAAAGACGAATTGGACGTGATATGATACATTCTAATACAATAAATTTGGACATAGATATGTTGAGTAATATGTTAGTTTTTTATTTGACGGCGGAAATAGACAGTAGTTGAGGTCACGAATTCGATCCCCTGTTCCCATCACCTCCTCCCATACTGGACTACATACAGTGCACCACGATTACATGTTGCTAGGATTTTTTCCAAGCAGCTGTTATGTCACGTCATTTTCGCACGCACACCACCTCGCGTCTCACCTTCCCCTCTTCCTCCGGTGGACTCGCAATCACTCGCTTGCCATTCTCCAGCACCAGCAGCAAGCTTCTTCTTCAGCAACTCAGCAGCACTTCACCTGCTGCTGCTGCGACCGCCGTGACCATCACCACCTCGTCGCCGGCGAGAAACCTGCAGAGGGCGAGGGCGAGTGCGGCGGAGCAGGGGATGGAGGAGCATGGCAAGGCGGCTGTCGGCTGGGCGGCCAGGGACGACTCCGGCGTCCTCTCCCCGTACAACTTCTCCAGGAGGTCAGTGAGCTTCTGAGCTCTGTCACTGAGAACTCTCACCGTTTTGTTTGTTCTCGTGTGAGAATTTTCGCCATGATTTTTGGAGTTGGAGAAGATGCCTTGTCTCTCTGTTTCTGTGTGGATGAGTTGTTTCAAGATTCAGATCCTATAGCTAGGAGAATGGATAGATCGAGATAGTTTAGCTGTCAGATCAATACAAGTGTCAGTCAGTTAAAAATCAGCAGTCAAACAAGTCAAGAACCAGAGCCGATTCTTTATTTTACATTATCTGAAAGTTTTAATAGTCTTTCACTTGATCTATGCACTTTTTGATTAATTTGGCAGTAAATTATATTCTATAATCTGGAGTAGTGTTCAATTTGCTACTGTATGAGGCTATGAACTGTCACTTTTGCGGCTAATCTGTCTAGTGGATAATCTTATCTGCTTCTGCTGACTAAAAAAAATTTCAGGGCTCAGAAGGACGATGACGTCACCATCAAGGTGCTCTACTGCGGCATCTGCCACACTGACCTGCACATCGTCAAGAATGATTGGGGCAACGCCATGTACCCCGTCGTCCCCGGCCACGAGATCGTCGGCGTCGTCACCGGCGTCGGCGCCGGCGTGACCAAGTTCAAGGCCGGCGACACGGTGGGCGTGGGCTACTTCGTCGCGTCGTGCCGCGGCTGCGAGTGCTGCGGGAATGGGTACGAGAACTACTGCGCCAAGATGGTAACCACCTGCAACGGCGTCGACCACGACCACGGCGGCGGCGCGGCCACCCAGGGCGGCTTCTCCGACGCCATCGTCGTCAACGAGCACTACGTGCTCCGCGTGCCGGCGGGGCTGCCGCTGGACAGCGCGGCGCCGCTGCTGTGCGCCGGCGTGACGGTGTACAGCCCGATGGTGATCCACGGCCTGAACGCGCCGGGGAAGCACGTCGGCGTCGTCGGCCTCGGCGGGCTCGGCCACGTCGCCGTCAAGTTCGCCAAGGCGTTCGGGATGCGCGTCACCGTCATCAGCACGTCGCCGGGGAAGCGGCAGGAGGCACTGGAGCACCTCGGCGCCGACGAGTTCCTCGTCAGCCGCGACGCGGGCCAGATGGCGGCGGCGGCGGCCACCATGGACGGGATCCTCAACACGGTGTCGGCCTGGCACCCGATCGCGCCGCTGTTCTCGCTGATGAAGCCGATGGCGCAGATGGTGTTCGTCGGCGGGCCGACCAGGCCGCTGGAGCTGCCGGCGTACGCCATCGTGCCCGGAGGGAAGGGCATCACCGGCAACTGCGTCGGCGGCATCAGGGACTGCCAGGCCATGCTCGACTTCGCCGGCGAGCACGGCATCACTGCCGAGGTGGAGGTCATCAAGATGGACTACGTCAACACGGCGATGGAGCGGCTGGAGAAGAACGATGTCCGCTACCGCTTCGTCATCGACGTTGCCGGCAGCAGCCTCGCCGGCTCCGGCGACGCCAAGATATAAAGCTCGCCGGCTTGCTTGCTTGCTTGTGTCGACGGCGCCGGCGCCGCCTAGCTTGCTTGTTGTGTGTCAGTGGCCTTGAATGTTTGGTGATGTGCAAACTACTACGAAATGGAGTAAGAAATAAGTGGAGCATATGTCTCCATCACTTGGTTATTAATTAGTCGAGCTAATTAATTGTACATATTGAGAAATGATGATAGGCCACATTGTTTAAGTCTAAGGTCTATTTGGGAATTGGGATAGCTTGAGATTCTGAGAAGCAGCTATTTGGTAGCTAGCTTATCAGAATCTGGAAAAGCTAGGTTTCCCAGCTTCTGGTTTATAGTTCATTTCATGGATTCTACAACTATAGCTTCTTATAATCTGGATCAAAAGCTGAACTGTTTGGAGAGTTTCTGATTCTGGGAGAAGCTGCAGTAGCTAGAATCTTCCCCAAACGCAGACCCTAAGTTACTCATATTGCTGAATCTTTTGATGAACTTTTTTTATGGGATAGGTTGGACATAATCACATTCCCTTTCCACTTTGGATATTAAAAATGCCATAATTTGTCCTACTTTCTCTTTCTAAATAGCTAACCACACACTTATAGTTACTATATGATTCGGTATATAAACTATTAAAAAACGCTTTGTATCTTACGTCCGATATGGACGAAACTCTGGAAGGTCGTATATGGGACCCATACTCAAAACCTTCCCCCAACCTTATCTCATTCTTCCTCATCCCCAACCACACTCGACAGTAGTTATCTCTCGGCGGCGACCTGGACGGCGCAGAGGCTCCGAGGCGGCCGCACTTGCCAGAGGTGAAGAGGGAGAGCCAAGCGACGAGCGCGGTGCCGAGGAGGACGAGGCCGCCGAGCACCATCCACAGCTGCTCGCGCGTGCGCCGGGTGGAACACCACCGCGCACCACACCAGCAGCACTGCCATGGCTAGGCACGACCACGTCAACCTCATCCTCTCCCCCGCCGCTGCCGCTGCCGCCGCTCGCTGCCGTCCTCCTCCTCCTCTCGCCTCCACGTCCACCTCGTCGACCAGCTCCCTCTCGTGGTGCGCCATTGTGAGCTACCGCTGGTGGTCGTGGTCATCCCGTGGCACGCTGCTGCTACCATGCGAAGTGAAGAGGGAGGAGGGCTCTGTGGTCGGTGGCAAAGGTGATGAGGCTTGTGGCAACGTCGAACTAGCTAGCGAGAATTGTTGCACACTACATGTCTTTTTGTTGCACATAGTGTGTTCGTGATGTTGCAATCCGTCTTTTCTGGATGTTTCTTAAATCAGTATTAGATGTTGCATTTGGTTTCTTTGGATGTTCCACATATTGGGTTTTTGTTGTTGCATACGATGTTCTTGAGTGTTGCATTCGATAGAAACATCTTCAATAAAGCGGTGAAACATTCTTCGATGAAAGATGAAACATCAAGGAACAATTCATGTTGAAACTTTTTTTTTCGAGTGATAAAACATTGCAACATTCATTTAATGCGAAGTGAAGAGGGAGGAGGGCTCTGTGGTCGGTGGCAAAGGTGATGAGGCTTGTGGTAACGTCGAACTAGCTAGCGAGAATTGTTGCACACTACATGTATTTTTGTTGCACATAGTGTGTTCGTGATGTTGCAATCCGTCTTTTCTGGATGTTTCTTAAATCAGTATTAGATGTTGCATTTGGTTTCTTTGGATGTTCCACATATTGGGTTTTTCTTGTTGCATACGATGTTCTTGAGTGTTGCATTCGATAGAAACATCTTCAATAAAGCGGTGAAACATTCTTCGATGAAAGATGAAACATTAAGGAACAATTCATGTTGAAACTTTTTTTTTCGAGTGATAAAACATTGCAACATTCATTTAACATACATTGAAACATCATTCGGAGATTTCATGTTGAAACATTTTTTTTCGAGCGATGAAACATTGCAACATTTATTTAACATATATTGCAACATCGTCCGGATATTTGCAAATCTCTGGACGTCCGATGCGTAGCACTCTCTAAACTATTATTAACCTTTGTAGATTGTCCTGACTACTGAGTAGCAGGAGTGTAGGACAGGTTTGGTCAGCCAAATGGTGCCATGTTCCTTTGAGCCACTTCACCGTATTATTCTCTACTTTTATGTTACTTTATCAGAATATTATAAGGAATTATTTGCTCTGCACCATTAAAACTATATTCTCGATGGATGAAAACAGTTGGAAATGATCAGAAAGTCCCTTACCATTTTCATTTTCATATCTCTTTTTCTTTAAAATGGAGTCGGAACGGTAGACCCGAAAACGGTAATGATGTCGGTAATATTGGTATATTGGAAACGGAACCATCGGAACAGGGTCTACCGATATTGGACGGAAGTCGAAAATTCATGTTGAAAACAATGGAGTGTGGCATAATCACACATTTAACTATGCATGAAGATGACTTTGTAACTTCATTCTTGCATCATAACGCTCCACATAACACCGTTATATGATGATTATTGATATGATAATAAGTTTGACGAACAATATAAACAAAGTTCAACAATACTTCAAAATCGATAAGTTGAGAAAATCAAAGTTCAGCAAAGTCCACATGCTATGCCTTAGAGTTAACAACGTTTTCCTCTGACCACTTCCCTTTCCTCTGCAAGCCTACTAGGCTTATTTCATTCATGGGCTTTCGATAGGTTGTGCTAGTTGTACCGTCGAGGAACTTTTGGAATTTTAACGGAAATTACTTGACAAATATGGTTACCGACAAAACGGACGGAAAAATCTCCATCCTATTTCTGCTACCATTTCCAGAAGATATTACTGTTTCCATTTCCGACACCGACAATTACTTATACCAACTAAAATGGTTGGCGCAAACCGAAAACACCAGGAGATCTAGAAAATTTCTGTACGTTTTCACCCCTAATTTTAATTAGTCATGCTAGTTAATTGTACTTATTAAGAAACGATGATAGGCCACATTGTTTAAGTGTAAGTTGCTCATATTGCTCAATCTTTTGATGAACTTTTTTTTATAGGATAGGTTATTAGTCATGATCACGTTCCCTTTCCATTTTGGATATTAAAATGCCATAATATGTCCTACTTTCTCTTTCTTTAGGCCCATTTCTTTTTCTCAACTTTAAACTTCATCTTTCTCATTTTCCGTTAACACGTTTTTCAAACAGTTAAATTGTGTATTTTTTTTACAAAAAGTTTCTCATTTTCCGTTAACACGTTTTTCAAAGTTAAATTGTGTATTTTTTTACAAAAAGTTTCTATGCAGAAGTTGTTTAAAAAAATCAAATAAATCTATTTTTTAATTTTATAATAGTTAATCATGTGCTAATGAGTTTTCTTCTTTTTGAGTGGCAGGACAGGTTTGGTCAGTTAAATGGTGCCATGTTCTTTTAAGCCACTTTACCGTATTATTCTCTATTTTTTAGTTAGTTTATCGGATTATTATCAGAAATTATTTGTTCTGCACCTTTAAAACCATATTCTCTGATAAAAAAATTCTTCACGTTACTGCACCGATAATTTATTTTAAGTTATTTATTGCTACTATTTATAAGTTTATTTTTGAAATATTTAATTTATTCCTATAATTAATGAAGTAGTAGTCACGACTGGCTTTGTCCGGAAACAATGACTGAAAGCGTTTTGATTTATCGCTGATAAGTCGTCATTGCATATGTTACTGCGCATCATATCATCAACAGTGAATGCTGCTTAATTCAAAGTTTCTTGGGTCAGAGTTGCAGAACTTCTGAACTTTTGAGTGTCACCATCTCCGGAAAAAATCTGCTAGGAGTAATCCTTCACTGTTAAATGTGTAAGAGCTTATGTAATCATAAAACCATTGGATAATGTCAAATGTCATGATCCAGCGCAGCACGAGCCGAATAAGAGCCTTATCTTTTCACTTATGCTTATACTTATCAGCCAAAATTTAAATTTTCAGTTTTAAATTTAGACTGATTTTAAGGTTTTTTCATCGATGTTTATTTTTCAGTCTTTGCTTTTGGACCATTAAAAACACGCGTATAAAAATTTTATTCCCAAATTACTTTTCTTTTAAAATATGTTGTTTTGCTTATTCCGTAAGCTAGCCAACGTACGGCTCATGATCAGCAGCCGGCGGCTAAGGACAGCAGCAAGTAGGGCTAGTTGCAAAGAAAATAGATGAGATATTGACCGCGTCGGTGATGACTGTTTTTCTCCGATTGATTACGGAGATACTCCCTTCGTTTTTAAACATGTCTTTTTTTAAAAAAAATTAAGTAATTATTAATTCTTTTTCTATCATTTAATTCATTGTTAAATATACTTTTATGTGTATATATAGTTTTACATATTTCTCTAAAGTTTTTGAATATGACGAATGGTTAAAGACATGCTAAAAAGTCAACGGTGTCAAATATTTAGAAATTGAGGGAGTATATTTTACTGTATCAAGCTCATGACTAACACTATTAGGTACTACTTCCTCGGTTTCATATTATAAGTCATTTAACCTTTTTCTAGTCAAACTTTATTAGGTTTAACCGAATTTGTAGAATAATTTGTCAATATCTCAAATATCAAATCATTTTAATTAAATATAACATTGAATATATTTTTAATAATATGTTTGTTTTGTGTTGAAAATACTACTAGATTTTTCTATAAACTTGGACAAACATATTTAGTTAAGAAAAAAATTAAACGACTTATTATATATAAAACGGAGGGAGTATTCTACTGTATCAAGCTCCTGACTAACACTAGTTGTAGTGGTACAAAACCGGGAGAATAAAATGGCCATTGCTTGGTCTTGATTTGTTCACATGGCACAGTAGCTCGAGATACAATCGTATTGTCTGACGTCGCCATTGTGTAGATTAGCTTCTTTGGATGTCTATTTAATCCGGTTTCACGCCCAGATTCCTGAATCCAAAACCAATTAGTAGTATCGATTACTGAGGAAGAAGAGCTTAGCAAGGAGTGGTCGATCGTCATCAATGGAGCACAACGGCACGGCGGCGCTCGGCTGGGCGGCGAGGGACACCTCTGGCCACCTCTCACCGTTCAGCTTCACAAGAAGGTTATAATTACCTACTACTTACTCTTTCCCAAAATATTGCTATCTATGAATATTGTCTAGGATCTGGCTATTCGTTGATCGACCCATCCTAGATAGCAAACATTTTAGAATGGAGGTAGTATATAACTCTGTCTCGAGCTCACCGTCATCGTCGTTGTCATCGTCGTCGTCGTCCTTGTTCCGACCTGCCATGGCCATCACTGAACTTCTGCGACGGCGATGTGTGGTGCAGGGTTCAGCAGGAAGACGACGTGACGATCAAGGTGCTCTACTGTGGCATCTGCCACACCGACCTGCACATCATCAAGAACGAGTGGGGCAACGCCATGTACCCCGTCGTCCCCGGGCACGAGATCGTCGGCGTCGTCACCGGCGTCGGCGCCGGCGTGACAAAGTTCAAGGCCGGCGACACGGTGGGCGTGGGCTACTTCGTCGACTCGTGCCGCGCCTGCGACAGCTGCGGCAAGGGGTACGAGAACTACTGCCCGACGATGGTGATCACGTCGAACGGCACGGACTACGGCGGCGCCACCACCCAGGGCGGCTTCTCCGACGTCATGGTCGTGAGGCAGGACTACGTGGTGCGCGTCCCGGCGAGCCTGCCGCCGGACGGCGCGGCGCCGCTGCTGTGCGCCGGCGTGACGGTGTACAGCCCGATGGTGGAGTACGGCCTGAACGGTCCCGGGAAGCACCTCGGCGTGGTCGGCCTCGGCGGGCTGGGCCACCTGGGTGTCAAGTTCGGCAAGGCGTTCGGGATGAAGGTGACGGTGATCAGCTCGTCGCCGGCGAAGCGGGGGGAGGCGCTGGGGCGGCTCGGCGCCGACGCGTTCCTGTCGAGCCGCGACGGCGAGGGAATGGCGGCGGCGGCGGCGACGATGGACGGGATCATCGACACGGTGTCCGCGGGGCACCCGCTGGTGCCGCTGCTGTCGCTGCTGAAGCCCAAGGGGCAGATGGTGGTGGTGGGCGCGCCGGCGATGCCGCTGCAGCTGCCCGCGTACGCCATCATCGAGGGCGGGAAGCGCGTCGCCGGGAACGGCGTGGGCAGCGTGGCCGAGTGCCAGGCGATGCTGGACTTCGCCGGCGAGCACGGCATCGCCGCGGACGTCGAGGTGGTCGCCATGGACGCCGTCAACGCCGCCCTCGGCCGCCTCGAGAGGAACGACGTGAGGTACCGCTTCGTCGTCGACGTCGCCGGCACAATGCACGCTGCCGCCGCCGCCGCTGCGTCGTCCTAGGCTCCTAGCTATGTAGCCTTCGTGTCAACGTGCTTGCGTGTCATTGTGTGTAACCGTGCAAGGAGAGGCGTTTGGTGTGCGCCGTTTTGGGGAAAATATGGGGGTGGAAACCACGTACACGATGGAAACTTGAAAACTACCGTTAGATTAAATAATAGACGCTTGAGATTTGTTCACGTCATCACGAGTAAAAATTTTACTCACAGATTTACTCGTGAGTAAAAATTTTACTGTGCGTGATAACGTGGATGATTCTCGAACATTTATTTCTCGATCTAACGGTAGTTTCCACAACATATATGGTCCACTGTATATTTTCTTCCGTTTTGGCGTGTGCGCCATCGATGGAGCAATAACAGTGGACCGTCATGGGTCGTGGGCCTGTGATAGGTTATGTGGGCCACCTCGAATTGGGCCCTTCTCTGATCTGATTTTGTCCAAAGATTTGTCCGATTGGAAAGGTCCACTTTATACTTAAGACTATGTTTCAATTTAAAATAAGTTCACTTTAGATCCCTCAATCTGTCCCCGAGTCTGAAATTCATCCCCGGACCACAAAACCAGATACAATACATTCCCCACCTTACAAAACCAGTGCAAACGAGATTTCTCGATGGTATTTTCTCCGGTTTTAGCTGACATGGCACCTACGGTGGCGACGACAGTCAGCTTGGGATTGGTGGCTTTGGGCGTGGCTGGAGCTCAAAGCCACCACATAGGCCCCACCTTTTTTATTATTTTGTGGCAATAACTGACATGTGGGCCTCATGGTTTTTTTTATTTGTTCGGATCGAATTGGCACATAAGCGTAACGTCAATGCCACATGGGTCCCGATGGCTGGTCCGTCATTGTGCCGCTACAGAAGGTGGATAGGGAGCTCAAGGCATAGTATGGGGATCACATCCTTCCCACCATTGCTGGGTAATATTTATAACATTTAATTAGTTTCATCAAATCAATAATTGAATATATTTTCATAATAAATTTGTCTTGGGTTAAAAATGTTACTACTTTTTTCTATAAATTTGGTCAAACTTAAGGCAGTTTGACTTTCACCAAAATCAAAATGTCTTATAACCTAAAACGGATGGAGTACTAACATGTGGGGCTACTATTTATTTATTGAGAGAACTCCTTATATGTCACTCCAAATTGGCCGCCACTAAAAAATGGATCCTCCCGTATATGACTTTGGTTTAAGTTTGTCCACCCTCTTATGCCACTACCGTCACTGCTATGCATGTTGACTATTACTAGTATTTACAAAAGAAAATCGGTATGTCCGTACGTACAATATGGAATACATACATGCATGAAAAAACGAAAAAAAAGGGTGCATTCAAATAAAAAAACAAATAAACCTATCTTTTTAGGCTTTGCTCCATCGTCTCTCTTCTCTAATGGCCCAATTCACACTAGTCTAGTGGCCTAATTCGATAATTCACACATGCTATTATGCTTTTGGCAGTAAATTTTTGCTAGATATTAGACAATTCACAAAAAAAAAAATATTTAGCTCCTTTACATTAGGAATATCCAACTTTAAAATCTTGGGTCCTCCCCATGATTGACTAATTTACACTAAGTTTATAAGTTGTGGCACAATGTTGAGTCTTACGTGTTAAAATTGATAAAGCATTTATGAGAAAAGAAGGCTAAAAGAAATACTCTTGGAAACTATGTTGGTCACGCTTTCACCATTGCACGCATATAGTAGGAGTATATAAGTGACAACTCAGGTCAACACTTAATTTCCACCCGCTCCTTGAGGCCTTTCTGGATGGGACTTAACTCCGACCAATCCACGCATACAGGGCAGAATTTTGGTTTTCAGCCTACACATATCGACATATATAGATGGGCTGGAATTATGACCGTGCAAACGAGGCCTAATAGTTTTTTCTTCGAATAAGTTCACTTTGGGTCTCTCTATTTGTCGCCCGGTCCAATTTTCGTCTCTTAGCCGTAAAACCGAGTACGATGAGTCCTCCAACTTACGAAATCGTTTAAACGAGATCCCTCGGCAGTATTATACCCAGATTTTGCTGATGTGGCTCCCTTGACTAGGTCTTCGTCATACGTGGTATTGACATGGCGCTTACATGGTAATTCAATCTCGGAAAAATAATTAAAACAGTGGGACCCACATGTCAGCTTCACATACATAATAATAAAAAAATAGTGGGGTCGATCTTTACGGTCAACCTCTCTCTCTCTCCCCGGTCAGTGGAGAATGACGGGTGGCAGCCGGAGTGGTCGGCCGGTATAGCAGGGCGGGTAGCGCTGGAGCGGTCAATGGCTGGCGGCCGGAGCAAGCTGGCGGCAAGAAGGGCGCCAAGGGCCGGGAGCCGCTCTCCTCCTTGTCGGCTGCGGGAGGGGAGATGTTGGTGGCGGCCTCGACAGGGAGCTGCTCTCGCTGATGGTGGCCATGGACAGGGAGATGTCGGCGGTGGCCTCGGTGGGGAGCCGCTCTTGCTGATAGTGGCCGCGGGCGGGGAGATGTCGGCAACGGCCTCCGTGGTTGGGGTTTTCCGTCGAGAGACCTTAGTTGCACTGGTTTCGTGACCAAGGGACAAAATCGGACTGGGCGACAAATAGAGGGACCTAAAGTGAACTTATTCCTTATTTCTTGTCTGCAAATGGCACGTTCAGTTTACAAGCAGTAGCATGCTGAGTTTGGCAGACCGGTAGTTCCGTCGTAGGCCACCTGTCTTGATAAAATGGGCTTTTTATCAAGAGACCCATTTTAGCTGGGCTCTCTTGATAAAAAGCCCATTTTATTCCGCCCTCTCCCAGTTCATTTATTGGGAAACGTCCAACTTACGTCCCTCAACTATAGCCAATCTAATTCGCATCTCTCACCCGCGAAACCTATCTGTAGGCTCCCTCAACTATTAAAATTGACTCATTTTGTCTTCACGAGTGGGATGATTGTTTTGTTCTACATGGCAAATTAACATGGTTTTCATCCGACGATGTGTTTTACGTGCTATTGTAGTTAATAAGGAAAACAAAATCTCAATGGCCCCATCTTCATCCCTATCTCTTTGCTCATAGTCTCATCGATGATAGGCAGCCCAAGAAGGTGGTGACAAAGGAGAGGTGAAGCCCGAGGCAAAGAGTGTGCCGGCAAGACGAGGCCTAGAGTGTGACGGCCACTCCACCCTCACTACCCTCTTCCAATCCGCCAACTGCCGTCTTCGCCCTGTGGACCCGGTGGCTCTGTTGGTTTAGCATAGTCAGAACCCCTCGCTGGTCTTCCTGGGGGCTTGGGCAGGAGGAAAAGAACGGAGATCAAGTGCAAACAGAAGTAGTGGTGCTGGTGGTTGAGGTTGACGGACGGTGTACTCTAGCTGTTCCTGCAAAACCTTCACGATGATACACACTCGAGGGCTCCAAGCCCTCGTTGCCACAACCACCCTCCCCTCTTCCCCCTTCCTCCCCATTGAGCCACAACCACCCTAAGGCGACAGTGCTAAATGTGGTGGTGTCGAGCCCCATCGCGTGGCCACCGTTGAGATGGAAAGATAGTTGTGGTAATGTCGGTGATGTAAGCCCCATCTCATGGCCGCCGTCGGGAAGGAAAGATAGTTATAGGTTGTCCCTCTAGATCAGCGGGCTGGCAGGGACGAGCCGCTTAGGCGGACGAACAACCACAATAAAATGCTGCTCCAGTGATCCCTCTAGACATATCCTCTCTCCTTGCTTCCTGCCACCACTAACATGGAGCTCGGAGCCATCGTCGTCATGGAGCTAGATGGAGAGGCGCACTTGGGGCTCAGTGGCATGGAGCATGAGACAGAGGGTGGAGGGGACACCAGCATGCGGTGGTGATTGAGCTCGAGCTCAGCCCTACAGAGCGAGGGGAAGAAAAGAAAGAGAGTTGTCTGTCCCATAAATTCTTTTAGTATCTACTACTACTACTAGTATTATTATTATTATTATTTGTTGATTGCAATTACACGTATGCTCTACATAGGCACCACGTTAGGTAAGGCTGGGTATGTGTCACGTTGGCCGTAGGACATAACTACCATCCAAACCCCTTGAGAAGGCAAAATGAGCCATTTTTTATAGTTGAGGGAGTCCTCATGTCTGGTTTGTGGTTGACCGTTGCGAATCGGCCTGAGGGTCCGAGGCTATAGTTGAGGGAGGCAAAATGTACGTATTTATTTTATTTGAGAATTTAGTACAGTCCTGCCTAACAGATATATAGCCTCATATTTTTGCTTTTGATTACGCTTATTGGTACAGCTTATTAGCAACAAAAAAAATTGTTGGTGAAACTTTTATATACGTGTCCTTAGCGATTTAAAAGAAAATATTTTAAAATAAACTATGAGGAAAATTCAAAAAATCAACTCTAAATCTAAGTTTTAAAATTTAAATTTTGGCTTATATACATAAGCATAAGCTCAACAATGGAGCTAATAGGCATGTAGCTTTTTTTAATAATAGATTAAATAAAACACGGCCTCTACATCCCGAAAAATATACACAGCCACAATAGGCATGTAGCTACACCTATCTAAGCTCTGCACATACATTCCAAAATATTAATGTAAAACACATTGACATACAAATTTGATGACCACTACTTTGAACTTTTTTGGATAAAAGTGGCATCGTATATGCTCTGAACCTACACGGCTACACCATATAAATTGTGAAGCAGAATTCGAGTTCTTCACCCAACTAGAATTATTCTAAGCTGCTTCATCAACAAATCTCGCTGGTGTCTACATTTGCCGCGTTTACTCTAGTCCTCTAGCCACCATCTGTCACATTTCCGGCAACTGAACCATCAACAAATTTTGCGACCCGTAATCTGCGTTCTCATTTCGCCATCCTTCTCCGGTCAGCAAAGCTGTACTCAACCAGGACGGTGACACTTCTGATTTCTTAGTACCGAGTCTAGTTTTGAAGTCTTCAAGCCGTTATCTTAGGCTGCTGACGAACAGCCTGAATTGACTCACTGACCATGTCAAGATAAGCCCGCGTTTAGAAAAAGTCTCTTCTTCAGATTGTTGGGAGTTGGAAATCATGTGAGTTGGTGATTTCCCAAATAGTTTTCAAATACTTGTATAATTTAGTTTCAGTTCCAAACCGTGTGCAGGTTGTAACTATCGGTAGCATGACGATGAGCAAGATGTACCCGAATTCACCAAACACTAATAAGCAGAAGGCAAAGTAGGGTAAGAAATAAATCAATTCTGTGAGGTATGAACTATGATCATGACGAAGAATTTTGAATTTTACAATTTTTGGGACCAATGAACTGAAAAAAAAGAAAGAAAATGTCACTGAAACTACTGAGAAACGCTGTCGAAATCGTCCACGTCGGCGTTCCGGATGACGGTGTCGACGATGTGCTCGATCCTCGCCGCCACCTCGGCCATGGTGGGCCGCCGCTCCGGCCGCTGCTCGGTGCATTCGACGGCGAGCTTTAGCAGCCGCATCATCTCCTCTTCCGCGTGCGCCTCGTCGGCGATGCTGGCGTCGAACACCTCGGCCGTCCACTCCTCATGCACCACCGCGCGCACCCACTGCGGCAGGTCGACGCCGTCGAACCCCGGCACCGCGTTCGCCGGCGGCCTCCCCGTGAGCATCTCGAGGAGCACCACGCCGAAGCTGTACACGTCCGCCTCCCGCGACGCCCTGCGCAGGTCGCTCACCTCCGGCGCGCGGTAGCCGGTCACCCGCTTCAGCGGCACGGCGGCGCCGAGGAGCTGGGCGAGGCCGTGGTCGGTCACGTAGGCGCCGTCGTGCGTGCGGTTGACGACGATGTTCGACGACTTGATGTTGCCGTGGGACGAGCCGGCGCCGTGGATGAACGCGACGCCGCGCGCCGCCGCCAGCGCGATGCGCGCCCGCGACGTGAAGCCGAGGCGCGCGCGGCGCACGGCGCCGCCGCCGCCGTGGAGGAGGGAGGAGAGGGCTCCGGCGCCGACGAAGTCCGAGACGAGGAGCTTCTCGTCCCTGCTGTAGAAGTAGGCGCGGAGCGGCGCGAGGTTCTCGTGGCGGAGCGCGGCGAGCTCGGCCACGCTGTCACGGAACTCCCTCTCCGCGATGGGCGCCTCCCTGAGCCGCTTGACGGCCACCACGGCGGCGCCGCCCTCGAGCGTGGCGCGGTACGTCGTGCCGAGCCAGCCCTTCCCGAGCACCTCGGCCGACGCGTGCAGCAGCGTGTCCAGGTCGTAGGGCACGTCCGGCTCGCCGCCGACGAACACCAGCTTCTTGGCGCCGCTCGCCGTCGTCGTCTGCTGCGACGGGCGCGACCGCGACCGCTTCACTTCGACCTTGTCCGTCCTCGCCACCGTGACCGACACCGGGGACGCGTCCTCGTCGACGTCGGCTGGTCTCCCTTCCTTTCTCCTCCCACGCTTGAAACAGAGGAGGACGATCACCGCGAGCGCCACCAACAACGCCGCCGCGGCGCCGACAGCGATGCCGGCGATTGCACCACCGGAGAGCTTGCTGCTCTTGCTATCTTGAGAAGCTGCCGGAGGCGGCGGAATCGGCGGCGACGGCGACGGCGACGGCGATGGCGGCGAAGTGTTTGTACACGGGCTTAGAGGGCCACCGCAGAGTCCTGTCCCACTGAAGGCGCTCGCCGGCTTCCCGGCGAGCGACGCCGGCACGGCGCCGGTGAGCTGGTCGTTGTTGGACACGTTGAAGAGTTGAAGCTTCGGGAGATCAAGATCGGCGGGGAGGGTGCCATTGAGGCCGTTGTTCTCCAAGTAGAGAGTGGCGAGCCGCCGGAGCTTGTTGAACTCCGGCGAGATGCTCCCCGTGATGCGGTTGCGCGAGAGGTCGAGCCGCTGTAGCAACAGAAGCGAGAAGAACCCCTCCGGCACCTCGCCGGCGAGCTGGTTTCCCTGCAGGTAGAGTGCCCGGAGCTCCCCGCAGTTGCCGATGTCCACCGGGATCCCGCCGGAGAGCGCGTTGGAGCGCAGCGACAGCGTCCGCAGCGCCGTCAGGTTTCCCACCGTCCCCGTCGGCACCCTCCCTACCAGCTTCGCGCCGGGGAGCTGCAGCGCGACGACACGCCCACCGCCGGCGTCGCACCGGACGCCGCGCCACCCGCACGGCGAGGACGACGACGACGCCCACGGCAGCCGCGGGCCGACCGCGTCCCGGAACGCAAGCAGCGCCGCCGTGTCCGCCGCGAGGTCCTGCCCCGCACCCGCGCCGCCACCGATCAGCGCGGCGCACCACAACAACGCGACGACCACGCCGACCGCCGCACGCGGCATCGTCACCTCGCCGCCGCCCGAAGCAAGCGAGCGAGCGACGGAGTCCAAACTAAAAAGGCGCGGGGGATGGGGGATGGAAGCAAATGGATGCAATGGGCGCGCGCTCTCCTTGTATTATAAGGGGAGTCAAAGGAAGACGACGACAACGACAACGAGGAGGACGGCGACGGCGACGGCGAGAGGGAGGTGAGGCGTTGGAAGGGAGCGTTTTGCAGTATACAGGGGAGGAGAAGATACTACGTACGCGGCAGAGGCCGACGTGCATGTTATGTGCTCCACAGCTAGCTAGGCGCGGTGGCCGGAGCAAGCACCGCCAGCAAGCAGTAGTACTCCCTCCGTCCATAATATAAGGGATTTTGAGTTTTTACTTACAACGTTTGATCACTCGTATTATTCAAAATTTTTTGAAATTATTAATTATTTTATTTGTGAGTTACTTTATTATCTACGGTACTTTAAGCACAACTTTTCGTTTTTTATATTTGCAAAAAAAAATTGAATAAGACGAGTGGTCAAACGTTGTAAGCAAAAACTGAAAATCCCTTATATTGTGGGATGGAGGAGTATGTTAATTATGCTTAGATCATAGTATTATAGTATATAGATAAGCAGTTCCGCTATAGATTTTACCGAAAGTCGTTGGTGTCGCCTGACACCGCTCATACTAATGTAGATTCGCCCCTACCAGCTAGAGCCAGCCACTGGCTTGGGCTGAGAATATATGCCTCCCTCCCATTTGGACGTCTCGGAGTCGATGTAGGCTGTGCTCGAGAGGTGAGGTCACCTTCGACACACGCAAACGGAGCAACGTATTTTCTTATAGTTAATTAAGTATTATTTATTTTTTAAAAAATAGATTAATATGATTTTTTAAATAATTTTCGTACATAAACTTTTTTAAAAAAAACATATCGTTTAGTATTTTTTTATGGGGTATCGTTTAGTAGTTTAAAAAAAATTGTACGTAGAATACGATCGAGATGACTCGGGAAAGAACTCAGCCCTATACGGCTTCTCCGTACGTCTCCCCTGCGAATGATCGACTAGTCGACACGAATTGATATGATTAGTCCATGTTAGAATATTTGCTGGGTTAATTAACCCGTACGTCGTCTTGTCGCTCGCTAGCTAATTGCGTGCACCGCGCGGCGCGCGCACTGATCGACCGATCGGACGGACGTGTGACCGTCCGTGTGTGAGAATTTCTGCGACGCGACGGCGATGGATCATGGATCGATCGATGGGGTAGTGGCAGTGGAGTCGCCGGTTAAAAAACTATGATGTGTCGTCGTAGGCGTCGATCGGGATCGCGGCCGCATGTGATTTGACACGGAAATTCTCGGGGTTTTTGTGCGGGGTGTACGTGCGTGCGTACGTGTGAGAGGCGAAGGAGAAGGGCGCGAGGTCCGGCCCGAGATGCCGGCCGGTGCGGCGGACGCGGAGGAGGTTTCCACTACGGAGACCGAACGAGGAAATAGAGTAGCGCGCGCGGTGGTGACGCGGATTTTGCGCCCCGTGGGCGCATATCTTTGCATGTCAAAGCTGTTAAAGGTGGTGGAAAATGGATATTGCGACTAGTACTTTGGTGTACTTGGCGGCTCCCGAATGTTACTCGCCAACATCTCTCTCTACCTTTTCTTTTTTTTTTCTTTTTCAGATGAGAAAAATCTGCAAACGGATCGGTGAACAGTTAATACTTCATTGGCACAAATTTTGACAATTTGACTCTTTACAAAAAAAAACTATTTTTACAAATAAACCGCTGCCAAAAGCTATTTCAAATCTAACCCTTTTGCTCAACGCCAAATCATGTGGTGCTGAACTTAGACACCTCAGCACCACGTCAGTTGGCGCTGAATGCTGTGCCACGGTGGATGGAAGACTAAGTCAGCGTGCCAACGTACATTCAGCGCCATGCTATTTGGCGCTGAGGTGTCTAAATTCAGCGCCACACGATTTGGAGTTGAGCAAAAGGGTCAGATTTGAAATAAGTTTTGGCAGTCCTGTAGAGACTGATTCCACTCAATCTGTCCACCACCATATAGGTGTATGTTACTTTGGGTTTACATTGCTAAGGCCATACACTACTTAAAATACGATTTTTCTGCATGAGAACCCTATAGGTTGCAGACAGGTCATAACTGTTCTCGTCTGCATAAAATCGTTTTCCGAGGGTGATTTAGGAGCCATGCGGCCAGCTTAGAGAGCAAGTGGGCCCCATGGTCAGATCCACCGCCCTGTCCTCGAGAGCAGCGGTGGTAGGCTCAAGCGGCAGGAGTGAGCGGCCACCACCCCTCCTCCGATGGGATTTCTCCGCTCCTTTTTCTCTACTCCTTCTCTCCACCTCTTCCCCTTCCCTCTCCCCTTCTCTTCTCCACCACCGGCGACTAAGACGGAGGCAGAAGCCACTCACGCGGAGACGACAGCCTTAGGGCAGGCGGTAGCCGATACGCGGATCTAGCACCCCCAACCTTGGGAGTGGTGGCGGTGGACTCAGGCAGTTGTCAGCTCCGCCGATGGTGGGGGGAGCGAACGGCCAGTAGGCGGATCTGCTGCCCCCGTCCTCAAGAACGATGGCGGCGGCGCGATGACGACAATGATGGCAGCATGGCAGCTGCGACGACGACGGCGGCGGTGACGGTTGCAACAACGATGGTGGTGGTGGCAGCTGCGACGACGATGACGACAGTAGCAGCCAAGCTTTCAAGAGAATTATGGAGCTAGGGTTTCGGGGGCGATTTTATTCTTTGGGATTTTTTTCCCGCTGAAACTATTTTCGCGTGCGGTCGGCATAGGTGACCGCACGCGAAAATCCCGTTTTCTAAGTGTAACGCCCCGATTTTCGTTCGGGATTAAAAATCATTTAATAATGCATTTTCTAGGAATTAAATAAAAGTTAAATCAATTTAATCTGGTGAAATTATGGAGGAAATTAAAATTTCCTTTAAAAACCATTGGCCGAGAATATTTTGTAATATTCTCTGTGCCCTAATGTACTCTCCGGAATTTTCCGTGAATTTTCGGAGCTCAAGAAGTAATTTTAATGGCACAAAGTTCATTTAATCAATTAAAATAAATAGAAAACCAAAGTTAAATCTCCCCTTCCTCCTTGGGCCATTTTCGGCCCAAGATCTTTTCCCCCTCCTTGGCCCGCTCGCCCCTCTCTCCTTCCCTCTCGGGCCGACCCCTCCCTTCTCGGCCCGATCGACTTCCCCTAGCGCAAAGTCTAAATAACCCCCTAGCTCTCCTCCCTCTCTCCCTCCCCGATAGGTGGGCCCGGCGACCCCACCTGTCAGGCCCTTCCTCTACCTTCGGCTTCCCAGGCCGAAGCCACCATGGCCGGCCGTTGCCGCCCACGCCCCGTCGAATCCGGCGCCTTCCCGCTCGCACCCCTGCTCCAAAACCGAGTAAAATCGGTTCCCCACCACCTCCTCCACCTTTTCCCCCACTCTCCCAATGAAAATCAGCGCCGGTTTGCCCCCGCCACGTGCCACGTCGCCACTCCACCACGCCGGCCGTTGCCGCCCATCCCGGCCACGATTTCCCCTCCCGGAGCTATAAAAACCCTCCCCCGGCCTTCCTCTCTCGTTTCCCCTCCTTTCCCGAGCCCGCCGCGCGCCCCCGCGCTCTCCCCACGCCGAGCCGTGCGCCGCCGCTTGCCGTCGAGCTCCAGCCGGTCGCCACAGCCGCTCCCGTCGCCGCCGCGCCACGCAAACACCGCCGTCGGCATCGCCATGCCTTGCCGCACCCCGTCCACCGCTCCTCTTCCCCAATCCATAGCCGAAACGCTGCCGCCACGCGCACCATCTCTTTCCTCCACCGTCGCCAACTCCAGCCGCGCACCACCGCCACCATAGCCGTCGCCGCTTCGCGCCGCCAACATCGCCAGCTTCTCCGCCGCGTGGGCAAGCCCGGCCACCGATCCGTTTTCCCCCTTCACCACTGAAACTCCACCTCCACTGCCAACCCGAGCCGCCACCATCTCTACCGCCTCCGGCCATCCCTCGCCGCCGCTCTGAGCGACCTCCGGCCTCGCGTCCTCCTCCGGTAGCATCGCGGCGACGATAGGGAGCCTGGCATCCCCTCAAACGAGCTCCCCGTCGCCGGTGCCCATCCTCCCTGCTTTGAGAGGTGAGCTCCTCCCCTCGTCGCCGGCTTCCGGCCGAGTTTTCCCGCCACCTCGCGCCTCCTCCCTTTTCCCTAACCATTCCACCGCACTCCCCAGGTCGTTCTGGTCCCCGGCCGTCACTCGTCGCCCGTCGGCCGCCGTTGGAGCGTCGCCGTCGTCCTCGCCCCGGGGAGCGCCGCCGCTATCTCGCCTCCGTCCGGTGCCGTGCCGCTTGGTGAGCATCCCCTTCCTCCTCTCCTTTCCGCCACCCTTCGTGCGCCCTCTCACGCCACCACTCGCCGCCGGTGATCGTGCGCCGCAGCGCGTCGTGTCTCGGCTGGGCTGGCTCTGAGCCGTGCCCGTGCTCTAGGCGCCCTGCCTTGTGGCCGCCCGTGGACCACCTGTGGTCTCAGTCCACGGTGCCGCCCCGGCCGCGGTGGACCGTGTCCACCGTGCGCCCTCCCCTAGTCCCGCTGATGTGTGGGGCCCGCCTGTCGGCGCGCCTTTCCCCTTTGATGACGTCAGCAGTGCCTTTTCCCTTGAGAAAACAATTAATAATTGCGTCATAAATCGATAATTAATTCTAGAAATTCTTTGTTTACTTATTATGTACTGTTTTCTTGGTTTTTATTAGAGTTTTTCCTCGTTTGCGTGCCAGCATGTAGAATCCGTTGTTTCGGAAGTCCGCGGTCGCAAAGGAGAAGAGTTCGGAAGATCAAAGTGAAGAAGCAAGGCAAGTCACACATTCCCCTTGAGCATGTTGATCCCAATTTACAAATATTTTATCGTTCGCAAATAAACATGCATTGTTTTGCTAATTACATGGGATCAGGGTTTACCTATCTGCTCGCTTGTGCCATATTATTTGATATATGTCCTTTGTCAACCTTGGTTAATAAATCGACTAGCTCGTGTTACTTATGTGACACAGCTAGAACTGTTTGCTTAGCCATGCTTAATTACTACTAGCTCAGTTGATGAGATAATTACAGTTTTAGAACTGTTAGTATCATGACGAGCTGCGTGCTCGAGATACCCGACCATGTTGCATTGGTTATAATTATCCATCTAAAATGCGACTGAATGGTGGGCTGTGGGTGCATGGTTTTGCGAGTCGCACCCATGGCAATTAAGGACTGGTTCACGGGAAACCCTGGAAGACTTACAGTGCTTACCACAAGCGGGAGTGGGTAACTGCTTGATCTGAAGTATAGCTCAACCCTTTCCTAGGCACCGGTGGCGAGGGTGGGCGTGATGGAGTTGGGTCAACCGGGGTGTCCAGTTGTTCAGCTGCCAGATTTACCGCGGCGCACGAGGGGACTGCCCGCTGCCTTGCGAGGAGTGGGGGTAAAACCTTAGCGTGGTGTGGATGGTTAGGGGAGAATTATATGAAGGGTCTTGTCACAATCACTCGACGTGGTGACGTGTTCATCATGGGCACATGATAATACGGTGACATGCCGGTGGATCGTGTCTTGTGGGTACAGTTGTGCACCTCTGGCCAGAGTAAAACTATTCTAATAGCCGTGCCCGCGGTTATGGGCAATCGACCAGACCCGTGATTAGTCTCATCCTTAATAAATTGACCCAATGCACTATAGTTCAGGTGGGTTGGTTGGGCCTGTTCAACGTGGTGTAGCGTTGATCAGTGGAGATTTAATATTACCTTAATTACTCAACAGTTTTATTGTTTTGCTCAATAAAATGTTTTACAACTGCCTTTATGCAAATAGCCACAAACCGTCCTTGTATCCCCTTGCACATCTGCATCATTGGTGTGGCTTACTGAGTACGGCGATTGTACTCAGCCTTGCTATTATTCCCCCTTTTCAGAAGTGTAGTGCTTCTGAGCTGAAGACGAAGTTAGAAGACCAAGGCTCAGACCCCAGTTGAGTTTTGCCTATGGAGTGGAGCTGAAGCCCCGCTAGGATCGCCTTTTTTCGCTGCTGCTGCTTTCGTTCTGGTGTGAGGACTAAGTGCCTCTTCTATAAGTATTTTACGCTTTATTTACGTTTGGATCTGTTTATTACTTGTCGTTTTGTGTACCCTGGCTAGTCCTGGACATGGATTTAATACACAAAATAGTCTAAAATTTTAGGCTAAATTTCTGGGCGTGACACTAAGGCAGTTGCGTTACCCGCATTGAAAAATGTTTTTCGAGGACACCTGCGTGCAAGCGGGTCACCCGGCCGCATTCAAATAACAATTTTTGGCCGCATGAAAAAACAATTTTTTACTAGTGATGAAAGCTTTGAACTATACTGCTTTAGTAAATATAAACTTGTTACTTGTCTCTTGGATCAGTCTCTGTTTATATATATATATGTGCTGTGTTGTTCATTTTTTTTCTAAGGTAATGGATTAATAACCCAGCCTCTACATCGATCCATAGAGGATGTACATAACCTATATTGTGTCGGTCATCTAACGATGTGTATCCCATTTCACGTCTTCTACTAATATCAAAAGAAGGGTATTACCTTATTGTGAAGGTTACACTTATTCCAAAGTGTAGCACTAAAAGTATTGCATTGTTCATTTACATCCTCTGCAAATAGTGCTCTGATGAAAAAGTTCCAGCAAAATTACATACAATACTCTGATGGAAACATGTACAAAGGTAACTGAAATTAGGTTATTAGTTTCCAAATTATCAAAAACATTTGTTTAAGGACGGAATGTGAGCCGCTTAATCTAATTGGCTCGATTTGATCTAGCTCTAATTTAGAGGATCTTTTCCGCATTTACATAACCCTCAACAAGTCATTGGTCCTTTTGATCTCATCCCTACAACTCAATTTCGTGTAAAACATTGATCACAAAGTTTGTTTTTAGTGAGTACTTATCGCACTTCTCAACGATTTCCCACATCTTATAAACTTCCAGCATAGTATAAGCGAAGTTGCCTCTTATGTTCTCTTTTGTTGAGTATGACCATATGAGATTTAATATTTTATCTATAATGTGTGATCATCGTCATGTTTATGTGCAAAAGCTAAAGAGGAAGTACCTCTCTAGTGGTAGGGGTAACTTCGATCATCACAATGAAGGTTTATGGGGCATGAGAGATTGCTAAAAACTGGACACATGTATAAAGTTGGAAAGGAAAAAAAAACTTATGTATGAAATTACGATAAGAAAAGACCAGTTAGTTGTGATATTATTTAATTTTTCCCTTCTTAAATTACACGGAAGACAGAAGTGCATACACACGATGACACAGCTTATGGGGCGGTGAAAGACATGCGTGAAGTAACCAAACAGATTCTATAATGGCATGGTGCGCCATTATCATCCAGGGGTGAAAAATTTTACCGTATCACTTTGAATTGAATATACAGACACACATTTAAAGTATTAAACATAGTCTAATAATAAAACAAATTACAGAATCCGTCTGTAAACTGCGAGACGAATTTATTAAACCTAATTAATCCATCATTAGTAAATGTTTACTGTAGCACCACATTATCAAATCATGGAGCAATTAGGCTTAACATATTTATCTCGTAAATTAGTCGCAATCTGTGCAATTAGTTTTTTAGCCTATATTTAATACTTCATGCAGGTGTTCAAACGATCGATGGGACAGAGTGAAAAATTTTAAGGTGGGATCTAAACAGACCTAAGAAAAAAAACAGACAATCGACCAACGGTGAAAGAAGAGAGACGTGGAGAAAAACTGGGCGGCCGAGAGCCCGACAGCGTGTCATGTGGAGGCGGCTAAAAGTCAAGCTCGGAAGCGGAAACAGCGACCCACAGTTGTCGATCGGTGAACGAACGTCAGTACGTACGTGGCGGCTCCCCGGCTCCCCGGCCGTGTCACCGTGCAGGCTCAGTAACTGACTTGTGTTCTGTCTGTGCTGGCCTGGCCAGTACAGTACTGCACGTACGTCAGCCATATGCATGGGAACAGAAAGCTGAGACACGGCCGAAGATACGGGCACCACCTTGCCCGCGCTGCGGCTGCGTGCGACCGGCCGATGAGAAAGACGGCGACGGCGAGGGAGACGCGCGCGCGCGGGCGGCTGCATGTATGTGTATGCGCGACATGAGATGCAGCTTGAAATTAAGTCTCGTGTCGGCCGAGGAAGGAGAGCCACACAGCTCTGTGCTCGCTGTGCGCGTTACTCGTTGTCCCTTTCCTCCCGCTTCAGTGCTTCACACGGAGGCGGAGCCTTTTGACGCGGACTCGAGCTGCTCCGCGCGTGCGAGGCGAGACGACCCATCGTTTGGGAGTTGGGCCGCCGGCCCATGCTAGGCCGGTGTGGGCTGGGCTGGAGGCCTGCTTCCCCCCCTCAAGCTCGAGTAGTTCGTTGCCAACTGCCAACCGCAACAGGAGTAGTACCCGTTGTATAGATGGCCATAAGGCCCGACGGCCCAGCCCATGGAAAGGCCCAAGCATGGCACATCATGATTGGTGTTTAGCCCGTGCTGGCCCGGCCTTGACAATTGGGCTGATGCCTTGGCACGGTGGGCCGGTCCAGCACGGCACGGTCCAATGAACACAGAAGAAAATAGTTGAGGGATCCAAATAAACTTAAATTCAGTCATATAATGCACAACCCAAAGAGGCGAAATGCAAAATAGACTTATTCAACCATATAATACACGAGCCAAAAGATGTGGGAGGAAAAAAATAGACGTATTCTTGGCGAAGCACGATAGGATATCGTGCCTTTAGGGCGGCCCAACATGGACCGAGTCTTATTGGATTGGTGCAGCCCGTGCGCGTGCATGGTATAGCCTAACATGTAGGTCGGGGTGTGCCAGACTGACTGATCTCAGTCTGGGCCCGGTAGTGTCCGGGCTGGGCTGCCCATTTGGTCATCTCATAGTTTGCAGCCTACTTGCACAGTGCAGATTTACTTTGCATTTGCCGCTTTGCGGATGCATGTTATGTGTACATGTGTGTGTTTATGTGAGTTTATCTATCCTCGTTCCGTGAAACAAATGTGTGGTTGTGGTGCCTTCTAGCATGTCAACAAAGTAGGGGTCGGGTTTGGAAGCGTTATCCGATTCACTGTTTACGTTTCGTCAGAGATATCTGAACACGTTGTCTGCGTGGTAATCTACTGTTCTAATTCCGTGTTCTTTCTTGTTGGTTCACGGCACACCACTACACCAGCAGACCAGCTTAGCTAGTAGTCCTCGAGAAGCTGGGAAGCTTGTCAGCCTTGGACTTGGGTCGTCGACTCGTCGTCGTTCCCTACATTTAGACGGCACGTACGTGTTCTTCTACGATTGGATGATATCTTGCGATGAGCATAGGCCTATTTATTTTTCTACCCTACCAAACCAATTAATTAAATTTTGGCACTACCAATTTTTTTTAGGGCAAAGTTAGCTGGTCTATGTTTGGTTTAATACCAATATAAAGCCAAAATTTAGTATGAGAGTGAAGAAGATTCTAGAATGTAGCCAAATTAAACGTGGTCACTACCAATTGTTTGGCTTCAATCCTAACTAGCACGTTTACTACTAAAGTTCCAAAATTTTAGTAGGGCCATGTTTTGGCTTTAATCCAAAACGGCCCTACATCAACACCTTCTCGTTGCATTAGAACGAAGAACATCACCAATCCAAACCATTTATCCCCCAGTCATTTTGAATGGTTTTTTTTTGAATGGAATATCCCCACGATCATCATAAAAAGAAAAAAATTAATCCCAAAAAACCTGTATATTTTGAATGCTCAAGAACCATACGCGTACGTATGCAAAGAGCATGGTCAGACAACCGAGAAAAGCAGCCACGGAAATGAAGTGCACAAATATCTCGTGCAATTAATTCACGACGTGGAAAATACTCGAGGCAAAGAAGAAAAAAAAGGGGGAGATGATCAGATGCATATCTCTCGCAATTAATTCACGATGTTGAAAATATATTTCATTGAAAAAAAAACGCGGAGATTTGTCCTTGGTCCAGATGGATAGCCAAAGCCAACCGTGGCGTCCTCTTTCCCCACTCCCCCAACCGCCAAAACGACTGCTGGGAAACCGCCCCACGTTTCCTCCCTCTCGCGCCATCGCCGTCGCTTTCCCGCCAAAAATCACCTCACAAGCAAGCGAACCCTGACCATCTCTCTCCAGTCCCCCCCCCCCCCCCCCTGATCTTCTTCTTCATCTCTCTCTCTATATATATCAAGTTTCTCCTGTGGCTAAACAACAACAAGAACACCTGTGTCATCACAACAATTGAGCAGCAGCAGCAGAAGCAATTGAGATTTAATTCCATGGCGATTTCGAGGTCAGCTCCAATGGAGGAGAGGGATCAGCTGCAGGGAGCAAGAAGATCAGCGGTCGGGGATTATCTGGAGCAGCAGCAGCAGCAGGATGGAGTGTACCTGATCCACAGCCAGGTGATGAGGATCAAGAAGGAGGAGGAGGAGGCCAGGGAGCTCCTCCTCAAGCTGCAGCTGCTGGAGACGCGGCCGGCCGGCGGCGGCCGCTGCCCGGCGACGACGCTCCGGGCATCCCGGTCGCTCTCCCCGCTCCGCCGCGCCGGCGGCGCCATCCCGGTCGGGGAGTGATCGATCGATGATGATCTTTTTTTTTTTTGTGAGATCGGAGAGTTAGTACCTGATGCCTGTCCATGCTGACATGCTGTTTACTGTGATGTCTATCTGCATGGTTCAGAGCTTTAGCTGTTGGTTGTAGCACACCAGATGTACATGTTATTCCCCTCTCTTGTTTGTGTTGTAAAATATCAGTGATCGAGTTTACTTACCTTGCTTATATCTTAGCAAAACAATCCTTGGATGTTTTCGTGCGGTGGTTCTTGATTTGATCATTCTCCGGCCCTCCTCTCTTCAGCAACTCTGTTCAGATTGTTCATGAATTAGTTCAGACTTCAGACTGCAAGGTATCATTATGCCATCATAGTCTACAGTCTACTAGCTCATCAATAGTTAATAGTCATAGAAAAACAAAATATTAATGAAACTTGGGGAAAAAAGGGTCATACGGAATGAGGTTGCAAACATTGACAAGGAACTAGGAAGCAATTAGTCATTTGGTGCTGAACCTGAGAGGTTAATTACGTGTACCTTTGACATGGTTGAAGAGCTAGAAGATATGAGACTGTTTGAGTTTGACCAGTCGTTTCTCCACCTGGAGTTGCTGACACGGCAGTCGACCGGGAGGAAGAAGGATCCATCGGCTTCGCGTCGCCTGACCTCCACGTCGCGGCGAGCAAAAAGCTAGCCGACCTGCCCTGGCTGTCAACATCCACAAGATAATTGAGCCGCTTGGATTTGGATGCTGTGTTGGAAAGACAATTCATGAGAAGAAAGTTCTAGAATTAATGACAGTGATGGTTTCCGAGACCATGGCTGAGACACGTGGCGCCGGCCGGAGGCGATCTTGAGGACGACGATGCCGAAACCGTAGACGTCAAAGTGCACACCTGCCGGACACCACCCGGCGTCGGCAGCAACTGGAGCACCGCCGTAACGGGGGTGGTCCGGCCGCGGGCCCCTTCGCGAATCCGCCACCCTCGGTTCTTGGGGATCATCTTCAATTACGCGCGCGGCGGGATCTTGTCCCGCCCCGGCATTTCGTCGAACAACTTGCGTGCGAGGCGAGAGGAGACTGATGCCGAGCAGATTGCTCCGTAGGTGGACGGGGAGGCAAGCTTCGGGCCTCTGGACGCGCGTGGAAGCAGCGGAGAGGGGAACATACGTAGTCGGGCGCCGGGCAGGACGCGGAGCTCCGGCGACTTAGAGTGGAGCACGGCGCCGTCTGGTCAGCGGCGCAGCGGTCAGGCGATCCACTCCTGACCAAACTCCAGCCCAATTCAGGAACAAACTCCAGCGGGCCCATATGGCATTTGGGGCTAAGTCTACTTTGCCTCACTCAACTCATGCCCGTGAATGAATCACATCCCTTAGACCGCAAAATCGGGTATAACGTGTCCCCCTACTCCCAAAACCGTTGCAAATTGACTCTCTAGGGGGTTTCGTAGGAGGTTTTATTCTACGTGGCATCTTTGACCCCGTTGATTAGCTTAGTCAGCTCGTGGCTGACGGTGGGCCCTACCTTTTTTTTTATTTTTTATCTTTATCATTGACATGTGGGCCCCACAAGCTAGCTCAGCTAGTCAATGGGGTCAAAGATGCAACGCGGGACAAAACCGTCTCTGAAACCATTTGGAGAGTTAATTTGCAATGGTTTTAGGAGTTGGGGATGTGTTATACACGATTTTGCGGTTGTGGGATTCAATACGATCAGGGAAATGAGTTGAGTGAGTAAATAGACTTATTCCATAAAGAGATGACAATTTGATGAAAAATTCGGCCTATTAAATCTTGGCCCATATAAGTCTAGGCGTCGGACAGACGGCCCGGCCCCGGCGTATGGTAGCGATCTAGATGGCCCACCATAAGAGAGCACTATAACGAAACTGGCCCACCAACTTTTGGCCCGCTCGACTCATTGCTCCCTTACAGATAGCTGGGCCCAATTTAGGCCTACAAAAAATTGGATCGCAACCTTTGCGATCCAATACGACCCGCTCAAATTTGGAATTCGGGCTTCGGATGTGAGACATTGTGACACAAATCGGCTCGTCGTGCAGCCGTCGCCGCCGGCGACCCGTCCCCCGTCTCCGCCGCATACGGAGGATGCTCGGGAACACCATCCGCTTCCTCGCGGGGACGGCGAGGGCGATGGGGGAGGCGGCGGCCAGTGGTGTGGGCGGAGTCACCGGCTGCTCCGACGAAGGCTCGCTCCAACTCCGTCCAGTGCGGAAAAAGTGCGTCACCAAGGTGAGGCACCGTTCTTGGTTGGTTTCTCTATCCATCGTTCTTGTGGATCCATGATTTGTAAACTGTTAGCTTTTGCAATTGCATTTCTATCGGTGCTGCTATTCCTTTTGTCGATGCTTTGCATAACTAGTGTTTGTTGTAATGCCTGTGCGAGGAGATATGTTTTTCTTTTCTCTTTTTCTTGCAGAATGCTAATTTCAACCTCGAGAACAATGTTCAGTGGATGATTTAGTGGGATATACTAATTCGGTGATGTAACAAACGAGCGTGAACAATAAGTTTGAAGCATGCAGTTGAAATTGGGAAATGGCCGTCTATGAGGTGGTGGAATAGTCCGTCTTGTGTTGCTGCGTTGAGTTCTCACTGTTAGCACTAGAGCATTTTTTGTTTGAATGAGCAGGAGACTCTGTGCCATTGCAACTTGAAAGCAGAGAACAGCCACATCACACCACTAAATGTAGAATTGTGTTTAATAATGACAAATAAAAATAAAATCTGGCCTGTCATGTAATTGGAATATAATATCGGATCATTTTTATGGCCTACTTATCTGTAATACTGACTATATTTGGCCCATATGTAGATGTATAAATATGTTCCGTTACATCCGGCCTGGAATGAGCCATATACAATTGTCTATTCCTACTTCCACTTTTGATTACTTTTGCCAATATGCTCAATATGTCGTTTTATGGTGCTATAACTAATTATATATGACCTACAAATTATAATTGTTATGCATGTACAGGTGTCAATCTACATATGATTTAATAGATGGAAGAGTTCCTTGGTGATTCTGGCAAATGATGAACTGATGATATTTTGCTTGTTTAGATGGAACACACTTGTATGAATGAAGGGAAAATATGCATGATGTAGGAATCCAAAAAACACATAATTTTGGCCACCGTAAGATTATGAAGCTGGGTTTACAGGGATTGGGATTGTAAGTTGTGATGCATATATTGTAGGTTATTCATAACCATTCAATTCATTGCTTATTTTGGTCTGCAATATGCAGGAAAGCAATATGCTTACTATCTTATTTTCTGATTTTTTTCTTTCATATATTGGTTCAAGATTATGTAAGTATACTTGTGTTCTTCACTAGTTTCATTACAGGTCCAGTGACTTTGACCTGAGCTAATATTTTTCAAATGCAAAAGGAAGGTTTGGTATACCTACTTAGTGCTTCTTGCTATTTGGTTAACATTTCAGGAAAAGAAATGAATGCATGTTGACTAAGTGAAGAGGCTAATCATCTGCTTTGCTAAATGTGAAAGATGAAGCAGTTGCGTCAACTTGGTAAAACCTGCCTACTCTCTGACTTCCGTGTGCACATAATATCGGTTTATATAGTTATGTGCTCCCAACACACAGCATACACAGCACATACTATGAGGGGCAGCAAATTTGATAGCTCTTTTGCCATTGTTCAGCCCAGTTTTGTCAACATTCAGCATTGTACAGTCTGATATTGGTCCAAAAGCATGTTATTATAACTGATCTGCTGGTTGTCTCTATTTCGTTCAGCAATGAGATGAATAGGTCTATGTTTACATTTATCCACTAGTATTTCTGTTGGAAACACATTGGCCCAGATGATGTTTTTATGTGAGTACTGGGAAGTTAATAACTTTTGAATAGCTATGTTGACTTCATAGAGTATCTAAAATGAATGCACACTTTGTGGACTTTCCATTCAGCAATTTGTTTGTCATGTAGACTGTCTAAAAGATCTCTATGCAGCCGAAATTATTTTCGGAGGTTATGGTTTTCTTGCTCACAATATGAACATGATGACAGTTGGGAGATACCATTATCCAATACTGGGGAATTAGGTTTATCTAAAAACAAATGATGATGCCGAAACATGAGTTGAACATTGCGCTGTGTTTTGAAAGACTATGATAGTCATTAAATACCAATAATTCTTCTGCAGTAACCTCACATATATATCAACAGTTTCAGTTCAGTTACCTTTTGTGCTTGTAAAAATCGGATTTTTTTTTAGTTTTTTTAGTTTTTTTTGGATTTTTATTTTTGCATGTGGCCAACATAAGCACCCGCATGGAAAAATCGCTATTTTCACATATCTTTCCGTGCAGACGAGTGTCCCAACCGCATCGAAAAATATGTTTTGACCTCATGGAAAAATGTTTTTTTTGTAGAAGTGTGCCTAGATTGACTGTTCTGCCAAAAGACCTGTACTGTTCATATATTGTTTATCATCTGCAACAAAAGTTTGTACCGATCCACTTGAAACAGCAGAATCTGAAAGGAACAAAAGTTTTTGCAATGTTTGTCGCCTCCAGCAATATCAGCTTCATGAGGGAATCCATGGATAGTCGTATCTAGGGAGCCTAGGACGGATCACTTTTACTGATGGAGATGTTACATAGGAGAGCACATTACATGTTCCACACCTTTTGTGACTTTGTGATAAAGAAAAATTGGTCGTGTGAGTGTGATATGAACCACCTATTTTATTTTATTTTTCAGGTTTATAACAAAGCGGTTGAAACACAATTTTCAGACTGAGATAGGCTGTCTTGCATGTTCCTTTAGAGGAGGAAAATATGCATGATCCATTTGAAGGCTCAAAAAGGGACAACTCCACATCGTCGACTAAATCTGTTTCCATTCTGATCAGCTAGCGCTAGAAGATCTGGAAATGGAGGAACAAATGGATTTTTTCCACGATGAATCATCAATACATGCAGCAGGTGATGATCAACAAAATGTCAAAAGAGGTGTGGTTATGGAGTGTGTCAGGAGCTCAAGGAGTGCCGACCGGTGAGTCTGATCTCGACATGGGTATGGAGGTGTGGTTATGGAGTTTAGATCCCCTGGCAAAATTTTTCACCCTGTCATATCGAATGTTTGGACATATGTATAGAGTATTAAATATAAACGAAAAAAACAACTAATTACACAGATTGCATATAAATTACGAGGTGCCATCCTCATCTCCACTCATACAACGGTGCCATGGACATGAGACCACAAGAAGATCCGTCATCACCACCGCCATTGACAACGATGAGAGAAGACCAGAGGGCAGTAGCGCTAGGGTTTTAGAATTAGGTGGCGGCGCTAAGCTTTTAGTCTTTTCGGTGTGAGCTCGGATCACGATTTTCAAGTTGCAATCTCTACCGGTAATATTCTACTGTCAGGAATACTAAATGATCTTTGTTATAAATCCTTACCGATCTTTTTACGGTGATCTCTACTTCTACAAAGCCAAAGGACGTTTATTTTTTGTAAATATTTGCTACTTCCAGCTTTAAAAACAAAGCTAACAGCTGCTGGATATCTTTCACAAAAGAAAAAGGAGAACATCAATAAAGGATGTTTGTTTCACCCTTCATCAGTTGATTCCAAGGCAAGTACAGATTTGTTCCAAACGTCCTATCTCCTGTCCTTGCCATCAAGTGAAGTGAAGTGCACTTCTGAACTCATGCAAAATTACGGCAGCTCACAGCTATCTCCACACTTCACACATCAAGCAAGCAAATGATCCTTTCAGTGACTAACCGTGGTGTGAACTGTGAACTAATCATGCCATCTACATGAACACGGTTCTCACGCAGAGAGACCCGGTAACACGTGTGCCCCGAGACTCTTAACTTGAATCAGATAATAATGGATATATGTTGCATCTGAATATTCAGAATAAAAACCAGCAGTAACCTGCTCTGCATGGTACAGAAGTAGTCAAAGGGGCTCCTTGCATTTCTTGCATGATTCTGTACTGAGCTCTTTCAGGAACACAATCTTTAGACCATTCCCCATTGCTGATGACTTGATGCTCATTCCTTTCCTCACTTTCTTTATGTGAAAGTCTCTTCAGGTTAAGGCTTGCGCAACGCTTGTTTCGCATGCTAACTACACCCTTAACAGCACAGAAACTGCCTGAATTGACTGATGATATGTTTGTCCTTGTTTTCATTTTTGCAGTTTATTTTATGCTGGAGTCAATGATTTCAATGATATCTAGGAGAGGAGCAAAATTTCATGATCAACTGTAACTATATCCACAAGCCTGAAAATTCCTCCTGAAAATGGTAGGTCCTAGGTGATAATGGACCGAAGCCACTGATGGCGAAGGCTGCATAATTCACGTGTTTTGATCGAGGATAATTCATTCTTCAACGTGCTGAATTAATTCTTCTGGGAATTATATACGATTATGCTGACCGAACGCATGGCAGCTCCATCTCTGAAGGTTCTACTTCTAGCCTTGGAAGACCTCTTCAGAGTTCAGACTTTTGAGTTGGAACACAATTAATGATGTACTGAGCGGCATGGCCTTCAATTTTGAGACGAAAGAATGGAGAAAATCAACTGATAAGTAGACCAATGTACACAGAACTGACCAATGAGTCGAATCAGATGAAGGCATGTCCTGATCCAAAAAGTCAGTCAATTGACGAACTGATCATTCAACCCGTTCCTAAAGTCCTCTTGAAACTGCTCTTACTGTTAATCTGGTAGGTAGGTACCCATCTATCTTAGCCGATGCAAGGTCAGATTTTTGGAATACTACGAAGATTATTTGTCTTCTCTGATCAAACCAGTGATGTAATTGCTGTAATTCAAAACGTGCTTAGAAAAGTTAGGATTTTTTTTTAGCCCCGCGTTTCCGCGACAAAAACCGTGTTTTGTTGACAAAATTCTCCATTTCCTCTGGAAGGGGGCACACATGATCACTACTAAATAAGATATCTGCAAATTGCAAATATGGATAGTAAAGAAGTATTATCAGAGGAACATAGCCTGTCACAGTTCTGTTCATCCAAGAAGCTTCCTGTGCTGTCGCCAAGTGTGCAATTTGTCAACCAAACACTCCTTCAGTTGCATGGCATCAGTCAAAGTTTCCAACCTAGAGGCTATAGCTACAAAATCTTCTCTGGAAGATGGGGAAGACTGCGGCTACAAGACTCTGAATTTTTGACTGCTGCTTAGTAGTTTACTAGTGTTCTTTATCCAAATTATACTTCCTCCGTTTCACAATGTAAAACTTTCTAGCATTGCCCGCATTCATTTAGATGTTAATGAATCTAGACATATGTATGTGTTTAGATTCATTAACATCTATATGTATGTGGGCAATGCTAAAAAGTCTTACATTGTGAAACGGAGAGAGTAGTAAATTACATTCATTAGTAATAATATCCCGTTTGCGTGGTTAGGTAGATGATACCTGAACCTTTAAATTAGTAAGTAACTGAACTGAATTCTTCAAAGGTCAAGTTCACAACAACCGCGTCTTTCACTGACGAAGAGAAGATGAAGTTAATTAGATCAAGAAGAGGTCAGGAGATAGGATTAATTACTAACTGGGCATGAACTCCAAAAACTATTGCTCATGTTGGTTGTTGAATACTCATATGGTAGATTTCACTTGTCCACTAGCTAGAATGTTAGCAACAAGAGTGTTCATGGGAGAATTCTTGCCGTTGCTAATGTAAGGTGATAAAGTCTTTGCAACCAACAGGTGGCATGGTAAATTGGATTTCGGAAAGAAATCTTTTAGAAAATGGAAATGCTTCCACTTGTATATGATTTATTTGAAAACATAATGTATGCATATTAACACAAGTTGACAAGAGTAATGACAACAAAAATCAAGTGTGATCTACTCGATCTCAAAATATTATCAACTCCAAGATCTTTGAATCATTCATTTAAAATAATATCTAACTTCTAGCTAGCATGCAAATCCTACCAAGTAGTACAAGATGCATATATCTTACTGCAATGAAAACCAATAAAATTGGCAACTTGTGAGGTTAAAATAAATGAAAACTCACCGCCGGACTAATTCAAATGTCCAAAATAGTTGAAAACCAGGTAATTAATTAAAAGCACATTTCGTGCGGTGGTGAAATTGTGGTGCAGGATTCTAGCCATTAAACTAAAATTTAAATCCTAGTACCAATATTTATGCATATTGCATACTACCTCCGTCCCAATATATAACAACATTTGGCTATGAATTTGGATACACATTTGTCCAGATTCATAGCTAAAAATGCTTATATTTTGGGACGGAGGGAGTATGTGTTTTAGCAATAATTTTACAATGTTCACATTATCCCTTGCTTCCAACAGTTGATATCGTGTTTTAAGGGTTCATCTTCTGTGTAATTGAAAAAAGACCTAAAACAATACTACCTACAATTTTATTTACATTACGTTTGGTTAATTCAAAATTAAATTTTGAACTAACCACTGTCAAATTAAACAGAGTGACTACTACCAAGAAACCGATAACCTTTGATTGAACCACAAACTTATGATCCAACAAAACACCTGAAAGCCTTTTTTTTTTCCCTTTTATGAGGAGCCCTCAACCCTTAGTGGATCAGCATTTGCAAAGCAAGCAAAAGGGACTCATGAACAGCAAATCAGGGCCAAGTGGCACCACCCCACCCCGCGGCGGGGCCCGCCTTCCAGCCTCAAACACCATGACACGTGTACCCCCTCCCATTGTGTCAAATTGCCCACACACGTACGCGCCATATTGTCATACGATCATCACCACTTTGCCAATTTGCCAGCTACCGGTCACCTTTGTCTTCTTCCATCTTCTCCTCCCTTTATAAAGGCAGGTGGCAATGGCGTCGTCTCACCATCTTGCTAAATTAAAGCCTAAAGCCTTTCCATAGTATTAACCCAAATCGAGCAAATTTTTTCTCATCTTGGTAGCTTTGATTCTTCGTCTTCTTTGCGGCGATCGATTGATCTTGAGGAGCTTAATATATCGATTGAGATAGCAAATGGGGAGGCAGCCGTGCTGCGACAAGGTTGGGCTGAAGAAGGGTCCATGGACGGCGGAGGAGGACCAGAAGCTCGTCAGCTTCCTCCTCGGCAACGGCCAATGCTGCTGGCGTGCCGTCCCCAAGCTCGCCGGTGAGTCACCCACCTCGCCAGAGTTTCAGTCTCTCTCTTTAATTTGGTCGATCCATTGATCAATGGACTGATGTATCTGTGTAACTGAAACAGGGTTGCTCCGGTGTGGGAAGAGCTGCCGGCTCCGGTGGACGAACTACCTCCGGCCGGACCTGAAGCGTGGTCTCCTGTCGGAGACGGAGGAGAAGACGGTGATCGACCTGCACGAGCAGCTCGGCAACAGGTTTGATCCTCGACGAGCTGAGCTCGCGACATGGTGGCGAGAGATGAGACTAGAGTGCTAAATAATATATGTGCAGGTGGTCCAAGATCGCGTCGCACCTGCCGGGCAGGACGGACAACGAGATCAAGAACCACTGGAACACGCACATCAAGAAGAAGCTCCGGAAGATGGGGATCGACCCCGTCACACACAAGCCCCTCTACCCTGCTCCGCCGCTGGCCGACGGCGGCTCGCCGGAGCAGAAGGTGCCGGAGGAGGAGGAGGAGGTGGAGGAGAAGTCGTCTGCTGCCGTGGAAAGCTCGACGAGCACCTGCGCCGGCCACGACGTGTTCTGCACCGACGAGGTGCCCATGCTGCACCTGGACGACATCGTCCTCCCGCCGCCGTGCGACGTCGTCGGCGACACCGCCGGCTCGCCGGCAGAGTCGTCGTCCACGTCGACGTCGTCGAGCGGCGGCGGCGGCATCGACGAGGAGTGGCTGCTGCCGATCATGGAGTGGCCGGAGTCGATGTACCTGATGGGGCTCGACGACGTCGACATGGTCACCACGGCGGCGCCGGCGATGGCGACGTCGTGGGAGTTCGAGGATCCGTTCAACGCGTACCAGAGGATCGCGTTGTTTGATCACCACCACGAGCTGACGTGGGCTTGACGTAACCACTTCTGAATTTTCTCTTGTTTCATACTCCCTCGGTCTCATAATATAAGAGATTTATTGTACCGGGATCTATTATATTATGAGATGGAGGGAGTACAAATTTCATCTCGGCGCTAGCTGCACTTAGTGATTTATTACCATTGGATTATTAGTGCCCTAATTAAACAATTAGAGATAGGATTAAGAACATATATAAGATGATAAAAAAAAAGGTGAAGTGGTTGTGTGAGAGAGAGAGAGACAAATGCATGAGCTAGCCCTCTTTAATTTCGTCTTTCTGTCATTTTTTTTTCTGCTCATCATTTTTTTTCAGGCTTCTTTTAGATACATGTGTTTGGCATACATACATGTAAATGAAAGGAATTTGAATAATGAAAATGAGAGTGAATGGTGTCATCGACTTTTACAAGATTTTGGGCTGCACAAGAAATTTCTTACCTATGATAATTAATGCGTCGTACTTGATATCTAAAACAAAAATTCACGTTGTTACATCGAATATTTAGACACATGTATGAAGCATTAAATGTAGGTAAAACAAAAAACCAATTACACAAATTACGTGTAAATTACGAGACAAATCTTTTAAGCCTAATTACGCCATGATTTGATAATGTGATGCTTCAATAAATATTTACTAATGGCAGATTAATTAGGCTTAATAAATTCATCTCGCAGTTTTCTAGCGGAATCTGTAATTTGGTTTGTTATTAGACTACGTTTAATACTTCAAATATGTGTCTGTATATCCGTTGTGATAACTAAACCTAATTTTTTTCCAACTAAACGAGGCCTCACTATCTCGTCTTGTTATTGTCTAGCTAGCTAGTAACTGGTCATATGAATGGCGGCTATGCTGGGGTGAATAAAATGGACACAAAACACAGCCAGTTGGCTGATACTCCACTAAGGTGGCTGTTTGATATAATTCTAACTTTTAAATTTAACTTCAGAAATTAGATCTGGAATAAAGCTGTGGATCAGCTTCGCATCTCGTTCATTTTGTGACAATATTCCAGCTGACTCCACTCTTTTTTATGGAGAGATGAAATCGTTTGGTTGAGTTCCAGTTCTAAGACAGATGAAGCTGGATCTAAAAATATACCAAACAGACCATAACTAATTATTAACTAAATCAGACTCTCGGGTGACTTATTAACCACAAATCCTGGGAATATAATTCATTTTCCGTTAATCTTTAGTAGCATGATGATGCTAGCATGAAGTATATGTGCTCTGTGACGTACTTGTGGCATGAGACGTGACATCTGCGTTTATTGTTCCACCTTCAGTTTCAGAATAGTGACTTTATTTCCCACGTCAACAAGCTTATTACAGGAGTCGCCGTTTACCACTATAAATTCATATACTAATATCTGGGAAAATGTAAAAAAAAAGGTTCAAAAGTATGAAAATATTTTTTGGCAAACTTGCTCGTATATAGTATTACATTATATTTTCATTGAAATAAAACATTTTCTTTTGGAAAAACTTTTACCAAAATTAACACAGTTTAACTGCACTCATCCTAAGCGTTGGTTTTTCTCAAAAGAGAGAGTATATAAAAAAAAACCATTTTTACGGTACCCTTGTTGTTTTTACAGGCGGAATAAAATAAAACATGCTTGCAAAAATATAAGTGGAGGCCTCTAGTTAATGACTTCTTATAGATACATCCTATAAAAAATAGTATAACATTTTACATGCGACGCTTTAACAGGCCCGTTTTAAAAAATAATTTTTTAGGTGTAGAGCCGCTTGTAAAAAAATCATCGATTTTCACAGGTTTTTGATCGTGGGCGGGACTTTCGATTATTAAAAATACGTGTTTCGAAGTAGTGATGGTACAAACCCGTGGTGCTATTGGTGCATAGGTCACTGTAAGATGAAAGAATTCTGGCGCAGAATCGATCGATCGAGCGAGTGGGCGTGTATAGCTTTCCTAGCTAGCTAGCTAGAAGAGCGATGACGAAAGAACGAAAAAAATGAAAGCATCTACACGTACGATCGACGACCATCCATGATTAATTTGCACGATTTTCTCCATATTGTTGTCGGGTGTGATACATATAAACTTGCCTTTGCCCCTGTTGGTGACGTGCATGATAGGTTGCATGTGGATTAAAAAGCCGTTGCATGTGGATATTTGGGAATTAAAGCTATTTTTTTATGACTAAGGGGTCATTCGAATCATGACAAACATGCAAGAGAGAAATTCCGCTCAATCATTTGCTGTTGAGCATATATATCCGTCACATCCAAAATTTAAATTTTGAAACTTATTTCTAAGTGTTTCTTCATCGTAGTTTATTTTTCAGCTTTGGCTGGATTTTAAGTTACTAAAACACACGCGTATATATTAAAGTTAATTTTACCCACAGATTATTTTTGTCGCTAATAAATATTACTGGTTATAATAAGTTATAAGCGAAATGATGGTAAACATTGATCATACATGAAAGAGAAACGAATAACTTTAGCTACGAGCATAGCATGGATTTGTTTTTTTTTCATATATAAGCAGAATTTAGCATTTGTGTATAGATGATTTATATGACATTATTATATTCCATATATATGTTGTGAGATTTATTAGTAGTGAGATATTTTTTTAATAATACGGATAGAATACATGAAAGGCAGGATGCCGTCCTCTTTTTCCTAAATTATTTTAAAACAAGGTTAGATTATACTCCATTAATAAATAGATTATTATGATGATGTTGTTAGAAGAAATAGGTAAATATGAACTACCAAAAATAGAAAAAAAAGTTAAAATTTTAGAACGTTGCAAGAGATATAAGCAGATTAGTATAACCACAATATTGACCAACTCCGCACATATAAATGTATATTAACAAGCATCGATATCTTCGACCATATTCATTCTTCTGGTAGATCCTAAAACAGGAATTACCAAAGACATCAGCAACTCGAACCCTAAAATCGGTGCCATCAATTGAAACATTGGCAACCAGACAGACAAAACTTCTAGGTCTTGGTATTTCCTTTCTCTTTCATATATTCGTGGTATTTTTTTATCCAAGTTAATTGTCATGTGCAACTGATCAGCCGTTTATGTGTGGTAAAATAAGGTGGCTAATGGCTAAGCTAGTGGTAAAATTAATTTGTGCTCGCAAAGAGAGAATTGGCGGTCGCTCTACATGTCCACACGCATAGGACAGACCGATATACGCCATCATGAGTGTTAATTTGCTTCAATTTGAAATTAAGGTATAAACTAGCTCTACAAATCCCCGCCAAAAAAAAAACTAGCTGAAGAAATTAATGTGACGGTCAATTTGTAAGAAAATTAGGCCTCCAGGGACTCTGGACTCAGAATTTTTTTTCCAATTTTTTTTGCGGATTTAGAGGATCTAATGCGTTAGAAAAATTGCAAACTGATCGTAATTAACTCGGTCAGTATCTTTTGTGCGTAGTGGAATTTACCTAGTCAAACTCAAATCTCTTAATTATATATTAGCTACTTTCTCCGTTTCCTTGGTTTTTTTTTTCTAAACCAAATTTTCCTAAGTTCGACTATGTTTACATAATAATGTAGCAACATTTATAACGCTAACGTGTTTTCTATAAAAAAGAATCAAAGTGTGCTATAATATGAAGAAATGGAGGGAGTATGTGTTCATTGTAGCAGGTGTACCTACGCTACATGAGTACATGATGCTAAACCTTCAATTTCATTTAGATGTATATATGCTAGGACACACCTAGGTAGGGTTTGTTTTTTTTGGACGGAGGAAGTAGGTATGTGTGTATGGGTGTGAGCGTGTGTATATCTAACGTGCAGTTAAAAAAGAAAAAAAACTACAAAATATTGCATCTTAGTCAAGGGCTTGAACTAGTTTTTTTTAATATTTTGATAGAGACGAAATACAAAGTGAGCAAAAGAAAACCATGATAAATTTACAGCATGCCTTAGAGCATCATATATATATGATTTCCCTTTAAATCTAATTAGAATTTTGTACATTATATTCTTTCTTTGCAAAATACTATATACTACATCCATCTTTGTATTGTATCTTTGTATTGTATGACGCTGGCTAGTTAAATTTAAAGTACTTCATTAACCTCTATAGGCTAGGAAGGCCGGTTAATCTCCTTTAAATCCTCTTCAATCCGAACAAATCTGGCCTACATACAAGTGTAGACATGTATCACATGATGTACAGTATCTCGCGGCGTTCATATTTTTTCTAAACTCTATTAGTAATAGGATGTGTTAAATGATATACTATTATTAGATTTGTATTTTTTATGTGATGGATGGAGTAGTAGTATGTACTGTCACGGCCCGTGTGAGTTGACAAGTTGACACGACCAATGAGACGAATTCTGCAAGCTCACTACAGTCAACTTAAACTATACTATTAACCAGCACAACTTTCTCGTACAGTATGAAACAATGTAAAAGCACGCAGGCACCAACCTGTAGATCTTCTACCACTGGTTATTGTATCTCGTCGCTGTTGCATATACAGTTTCTACACGCACGTACGACAGCAGCAACTCGTGACATATACTCTAGTAGTACTACCCTACTAGCTAAATATGCAACAGCGACAATAACTGATCGATCCATGTCTGAATCAACAAGGTGCATTATGCATGGTGTTTACTCGTTCCGTTCCAATATATAATAACATTTTTTTACGGGACCAATATATAACAACTTAATATAGAATTAGATTTATTATAGAACTACGAATCTAAATATATAATAATTTATAGTCCTAGAATGGATCTAATTCCATCATAAATTACTACACATATTGAAAGTGAGGGAGTACTAATCAGTACGACGCATATGTACACGTACGCATTATTGATCGTGTGAACAGATTTGACGCAACTTGCATGCATGTGTGCTTGTGAGGGCACCCGCAATGGTTATCTATAGACTCTTTATAAGATATCCATATCAGCATATTTTCCTACTTGGAAGAGATTAAATGAAGAGATAGAGCAAAGCTATCTACTGACCTGGAGATAGTTTATACAGAAAAACGAGGCAATGGATTAGAGAGCTATAGATACCCATGTAGATATACCATTAAAGTGGTTTACTATTAATCTAGTCTATTGCTGAGATGTATGTTTTATAGATAGCACCTTACTTTACCATTGCGGGTGCTCTGAGATTTCCAGTATAATGTCACACACAAGTTAATAGTCTTTCACACTAGCTATAGGCAGTAGTTATTTACTAGATAGAAGGGTTTGTGACATTTTTTTCACCGCGCGCTAATGATAGTTTGATTTTTCGATGAGAGCTGCTAAATTTTTCTAGCGTTCCCATTTCGACCAACCTACTTAATTATTAGGTATGCATGAAGATATATAAAAACAATAGTGAATAATTATAGTTTGAGGAAACTTTTATTGCTAGGGTTTCAGCTTTATTAACCAACATTTACATT